TTTTGCGATTTTTGCAATTTTCAGTCATTTTTGCGATTTTTGCAATTTTCAGGAATTTTTGCGAATTTTGCAATTTTCAGGCATTTTTGCGATTTTCGCAATTTTCAGGAATTTTTGCGATTTTTGCAATTTTCAGGAATTTTTGCGATTTTTGCAATTTTCAGGAATTTTTGCGATTTTTGCAATTTTCAGGCATTTTTGCGATTTTTTGCAATTTTCAGGCATTTTTGCGATTTTTCCAAATTTCAGGCATTTTTGCGATTTATGCAATTTCTAGGCATTTTTGCGATTTTTGCAATTTTCAGGAATTTTTGCGAATTTTGCAATTTTCAGGAATTTTTGCGAATTTTGCAATTTTCAGGAATTTTTGCGATTTTTGCAATTTTCATGATTTTTTGCGATTTTTGCAATTTTCAGGCATTTTTGCGATTTTTTCAATTTTCAGGCATTTTTGCGATTTTTTCAATTTTCAGGCATTTTTGCGATTTTTGCAATTTTCAGGCATTTTTGCGATTTTTGCAATTTTCAGGAATTTTTGCGAATTTTGCAATTTTCAGGAATTTTTGCGAATTTTGCAATTTTCAGGCATTTTTGCAATTTTCAGGAATTTTTGCGATTTTTGCAATTTTCAGGAATTTTTGCGATTTTTGCAATTTTCAGGAATTTTTGCGATTTTTGCAATTTTCAGGAATTTTTGCGATTTTTGCAATTTTCAGGAATTTTTGCGATTTTTGCAATTTTCAGGCATTTTTGCGATTTCTTCAATTTTCAGGAATTTTTGCGATTTTTGCAATTTTCAGGCATTTCTGCGTTTTTTGCAATTTTCAGGCATTTTTGCGATTTTTGCAATTTTCAGGAATTTTTGCGATTTTTGCAATTTTCAGGAATTTTTGCGATTTTTGCAATTTTCAGGAATTTTTGCGATTCTTGCAATTTTCAGGCATTTTTGCGATTTTTGCAATTTTCAGGAATTTTTGCGATTCTTGCAATTTTCAGGCATTTTTGCGATTTTTGCAATTTTCAGGAATTTTTGCGATTTTTTCAATTTTCAGGAATTTTTGCGATTTTTGCAATTTTCAGGAATTTTTGCGATTTCTGCAATTTTCATGATTTTTTGCGATTTTTGCAATTTTCAGGCATTTTTGCGATTTCTTCAATTTTCAGGAATTTTTGCGATTTTTGCAAATGTCAGGAATTTTTGCGATTTTTGCAATCTTCAGGAATTTTTGCGATTTTTTGCAATTTTCAGGAATTTTTGCGATTTTTGCAATTTTCAGGAATTTTTGCGATTTTTGCAATTTTCAGGAATTTTTGCGATTTTTGCAATTTTCAGGAATTTTTGCGATTTTTGCAATTTTCAGGTTTTTTGCGATTTTTGCAATTTTCATGATTTTTTGCGATTTTTGCAATTTTCAGGCATTTTTGCGATTTTTTCAATTTTCAGGCATTTTTGCGATTTTTTCAATTTTCAGGCATTTTTGCGATTTTTGCAATTTTCAGTCATTTTTGCGATTTTTGCAATTTTCTGGAATTTTTGCGAATTTGCAATTTTCAGGAATTTTTGCGAATTTTGCAATTTTCAGGCATTTTTGCGATTTTCGCAATTTTCAGGAATTTTTGCGATTTTTGCAATTTTCAGGAATTTTTGCGATTTTTGCAATTTTCAGGAATTTTTGCGATTTTTGCAATTTTCAGGCATTTTTGCGATTTTTGCAATTTTCAGGCATTTTTGCGATTTTTCCAATTTTCAGGCATTTTTGCGATTTATGCAATTTTTAGGCAATTTTTGCGATTTTTGCAATTTTCAGGAATTTTTGCGAATTTTGCAATTTTCAGGAATTTTTGCGAATTTTGCAATTTTCAGGCATTTTTGCGATTTTTGCAATTTTCAGGAATTTTTGCGATTTTTGCAATTTTCAGGAATTTTTGCGATTTTTGCAATTTTCAGGAATTTTTGCGAATTTTTCAATTTCCAGGAATTTTTGCGATTTTTGCATTTCCAGGAATTTTTGCGATTTTTGCAATTTTCAGGAATTTTAGCGATTTTTGCAATTTTCAGTAATTTTTGCGATTTTTGCAATTTTCAGGAACTTTTGCGATTTTTGCAATTTTCAGGAATTTTTGCGATTTTTGCAATTTTCAGGCATTTTTGCGATTTTTGCAATTTTCAGGAATTTTTGCGATTTTTGCAATTTTCAGGAACTTTTGCGATTTCTGCAATTTTCAGGCATTTTTGCGTTTTTTGCAATTTTCAGGCATTTTTGCGATTTTTGCAATTTTCAGGAATTTTTGCGATTTTTGCAATTTTCAGTAATTTTTGAAAATTTTGCAATTTTCAGGAACTTTTGCGATTTTTGCAATTTTCAGGAATTTTTGCGATTTTTGCAATTTTCAGGCATTTTTGCGATTTTTGCAATTTTCAGGAATTTTTGCGATTTTTGCAATTTTCAGGAACTTTTGCGATTTTTGCAATTTTCAGGCATTTCTGCGTTTTTTGCAATTTTCAGGCATTTTTGCGAGCGATTTTTGCAATTTTCAGGCATTTTTGCGATTTTTGCAATTTTTCAGGAACTTTTGCGATTTTTGCTATTTTTAGGCATTTTTGCGATTTTTGCAATTTTCCAGGAATTTTTGCCGATTTTTGCAATTTTCAGGCATTTCCTGCGTTTTTTGCAATTTTCAGGCATTTTTGCGATTTTTGCAATTTTCAGTAATTTTTTGCGATTTTTGCAATTTTCAGGCATTTTTGCGATTTTTTGCAATTTTCAGGAACTTTTGCGATTCTGCAATTTTCAGGCATTTCTGCGTTTTTTTGCAATTTTCAGGCATTTTTGCGATTTTTGCAATTTTCAGGAATTTTTGCGATTTTTTGCAATTTTCAGTAATTTTTGAGATTTTTGCAATTTTCAGGAACTTTTGCGATTTTTGCAATTTTCAGGAATTTTTGCGATTTTTTCAATTTTCAGGCATTTTTGCGATTTTTGCAATTTTCAGGAATTTTTTGCGATTTTTTGCAATTTTCAGGAACTTTTGCGATTTTTGCAATTTTCCAGGCATTTCTGCGTTTTTTGCAATTTTCAGGCATTTTTGCGATTTTGCAATTTTCAGTAATTTTGCGATTTTTGCAATTTTCAGGCATTTTTGCGATTTTGCAATTTTCAGGAACTTTTGCGATTTTTGCTATTTTCAGGCATTTTTGCGATTTTTGCAATTTTTCAGGAATTTTTGCGATTTTTTGCAATTTTCAGGAATTCTTGTGAATTCCAAAAAATTGCAAAAATCGCAAAAGTTCCTGAAAATTGCAAAAATCGCAATAATTCCTGAAAATTGTAAAAATGGCAAGAATTCCTGAAAATTGGGCAGAATTTCTGAAAATAGCAAAATTTCCCGAAAATTGCAAAAAATTCCTGAAAATTGCAAAAATTCCTGAAAATTAAAAAAATTCCTGAAAATTGTAAAAATTTCAAAAATTCCTGACAAATTTGAAAATTTCCTGAAAAATGCAAAAATTGCAAAAATTCCTGAAAATTGAATAAATCGCAAAAAAATGCCTGAAAATTGAAAAAAATCGCAAAAAATGCCTGAAAATTGCAAAAATGTATGTAGGAAAATATTCCCAAACTTAATTATTGGGAATCATTAGAAATCAACGAATTACCGCTTTGGAATTCGTTTTCTCAGTACGTAAAACTGCTTGATCATTAGTTGTCATTCTAGCATCTGGGAACCGCCTCTAGATGTGCCAATAGATGAAGAGGATGAAGAAAAGTATTTGCAGGAAGCTCGAAAGCTATACGACCATGTGAACGAAATTGAAAAGTCTTACGGCCCTAAACCTTTACAGACCATTCCGCTACCGAGGCCGTTGAAGGAATATACTTGGCTGGCTTTAGCAGACACTGTCGTATTTTTACATCGATATCTGACAGACAATGGAATGGTAATTTTGATTGATTTGATACTTTCACTTGTGATACCACTTGAGGTCAAATTATTTCCGGAAAATTTTTAGAGCTCATGGATATTTTGAAAATGGGGAAGTTTCCTTCCGATGAATTTTCATAAAATAAGTTCGGAACACTCTAGTTTTATGTCCACACTGTACAGAATGGCGACCGATAAAGTCCAAGTCGTTTACATTTTCAAATTAAAGCATTTCAATTCATTGCCTGTGGAAGTATTCCCAACAACATATAATCTCCAAAAGTTCAAAAAAAAATCCAATACCTACCTCCTGTCCCTATCCTCCCTAGGAACGCGCGATGTTCTTTTGAACATTATAGGGATTCCCTTTCGTGCGCTCCAAGCGATAAAAAAAAAATTTCTAATTTTCGGGGCGGCAAAATGTGACGTACATTCTAAATCTAGTCTTAAAATAGCTGATGGTGGAAAATATAGCTAGCAAATAGCTAACGAATAAAAAACGAATGAAGAAAATAGAAGAAGAAGTAAAACTGGTAAACAAAAACATACATAACCACGAATGCACTCGGTGCAGGAATGCAGAGGGTAGTTGGCTTCATTCTGACAGGTTATGGTTTTGTTATTTATGCATTGAAATATCTCGAACAGAGCTCGATTCTAAACGAAAATATCATTGAATCAATGAATCACTATCGGCTACATTCAATGATACTATCCTTCCTAATTTACTGTCATCGGTCAGAATAGAATGAAGCCGACACCCATGGTCCCTTCCTCTTGTTGTTCCTGTCAGTATTTTGAGTGGTGTAGACGGACTCGAAGTATTAGGTGCTGTTGCATGATATAATCTGCAACTTTCCTAGAAAATAGATCCGTTTTATTAAGGAACGAATTTATTAGCAAAAAAATGACAGACAAGTTATGAATAACATATTGTAATATAACGATAGTGAACAATTATAGATACTATCGCAAAATATCATAATTTATCTTTATTAGTAATCAACTTCATTCAGCCAATGAGAGATTTATGGGAATTATTCATAATACTTGACAAAGTAGGATTGAAGAACGAACCTATTATATCCCATTGCAGTTATGATATAGTTATTATGCATTCAAAGAACAATTTCCGGAAATCTAGACATATTGATGATGTCGGCAACGTCGTACTGGCACAGAGAATCGTATTTTAACTCTGTGTGAATGTGGATTTTCAGAAAGTACGTCATAGGAATGGCGGAGGAGCCAAGTTCCTCTTTTATTTATTTTTTTCTGAAGTGAAAATTGATCTTACGCAAAAATGAAAAAATACGTATATATTATTTTTTTCTGTGACGGGAAAAAAGTTTGGCATTTCATCTCTGTTGGCAGGTTATAAAATGTCACTTTTCATAAATTACTTTTTTCCCGTGGGAAAAAAGTGAGTAGGTACTTGTTTCCCGGATATATATCACATATATATACTCTGTTTATGGCTTTTGTTGTGCCATAGTTCCGAAAAATGAGTCAATAATACCGTCTCCGAGAAAAAACTGTCCTTTTATCTTCCATTCGACTTCGCGGTTTCGTATATTACTAAACAACTACTGAATTCGCAATTTTTCAAAATCAAATCACAGAATTGAACTGACAGAAGTGACATCAGATATTTGATTACTTCAAAAGAATGATAAAGATGCCTATAAAACGCAGGTGTACCTACTGTTAAAAACTTGAAATTTCACGTCGATAATTTTCAGATTTCGAAATAATGTAATATCTTCTCAATATTGATTCGTCCTTCCTTCTGTCACAGAAAAAAATAGTGTATTATACACGGGAAAAATATTAGATTTTAGCTCACGGTTTTTGGTCTCCCTCCGCTACGCGTCGGGAGACAACACAACCTGGAGCTAAAATCTACTACTTTTTTCCCTTGTATAATAAATAACTATTTTTACAAACTTCACAGTGAGATAAGAACCTCAATATAGGAAACTTCCCCAGTCGAAGACGAGGGATAATTTTCGAAATATTCATGAGCGAGAAAAAATTCCCGGAAAGTAATTTGACCTCGTGTGGAATTCGGTAAGAAAATTTCACACCAGATTGTGTTTGGAAATTGAATGATTTTAGAATTTATTTGTTCATTTGATTTGCATACAGGTTCATGAATTAATTTGGTTTGGGTGCAAAAGTGAATTATTTTTTATGGACATTCAGAATCTAGTACTAAAAATGCAACAAGTGCTCAAAGACTTTTTACGTCCTCACTGTACATATATACTTTTTCTACAGCCGACAAAAGAGCCGTCCATTCTAATATAAAAATTAGCTCTTGAATTGACGTTTCTATTACTGACACAAAAATAGGTATGTTGCTAGGCAACACATTTAGTTCCTAAAAAGGATATACTAGAGGACATAAAAAAACAACATTGTTATGGTTGGTTATCTGGCAGATTTGGCATTTCATACCCATGCTGCAGATATAAATACACCTTATCATAGTTGAGTATTTTTGTTTTGATCAGGGAAGCCTTCATGATTCACATACTTGCTTGATCTGTATTTCATTCGTTATTCTCGGGATGGATTACTTGTTTCACCATGACAGATTTTTATTTACAAATTGACAGGACCATGAAAAATTTTTCGGTTATGAATAAAAAATGAATAACTTAGTTTACTTAGTTCACGTAGATGTCTGAACTACATATTTTTTTTTCATTTTTCTTTTCAATGAACAGACAATATTATAGCTCCTGCCTACTAACTACCTAACTAGGTTGTCATCTAGAACGACAATGCTTCACAACAGAAAAGCTAAAGGGAAGATTACATTCTGAGAGAGGGAAAATACATTTTCAATAGTGAATTTTCGGAATGATTTATAATTATTGTAAACTTTTCAGAGTCATTTCACCTTCATAGATATGAACAGATGTATGAGCGAAAATTCGGAACCGAAGATTTTCAAGCTTCCTCAAACCGAAATCGAAAATGAACCGAGAGCTAACGAGGAAATGCCAGAAGAGAAAAGAAGCGAGACGGTGATTGCCGAAGTGGTGGCGGAAACCGACGAAAAAATGGATACTAACGTGCCGCCAGAAAGACGACCTTCCCAAAATAGCGAGACGAATAATGAGGGACAAGATAATACTCCCGTGCAAACAGATAATGATGAGGTAATACCACATGGTGACGCAAACATCAATACATCATTCCATTTGTAAAAGAAGCTTCAGTTGACTAGCGAAAAATTTGACTTATCCACCAGAGTGTATTATTTTTCACAAAATCAAAATTGTTTTTTATGATCTCATTCGCTAATATGTTTTTTCATGTTTTCCCCCCTCCCCCCATTCAGGCAGTTGGCTATAGTGAAAAAAGTGTAATTTGTTTTTGTAACATCTATTCAGACAGAATCATCATATGTACATATGTATTTTTTAAAGAAAACTTTCCATTTTAATTATCAATTTTGGTATTTTCTTCGTGAACTATTGAAAGAGGAGGAGAGGATTTTGATTTTTCATGCTCTCTTTTTGGATATTCAACAGATATAATTCGATGTTCGACGTGGCAAATAGCCAAGAAAGTAGTTGTTTTCTGTTGAATATTCAGAATTATATTACATGCATATCTTTATATGAAGGAGAATGCAAATTCTCTACTTCAGAAGATTTTATCTTCAAATTCCTATCGTGTGTGTTCAATAGATGTAATTCAATATTCGTCGTGGCATATAGCCAGGAAAGTAGTTGTTTTCTGTTGAATAAACCGAGAAAGAATTAATATTTTCATCACATGGAGAATGCGAATTCTCAATGTATTTCTTTATTTATATACATATATCCATTTTTTGTGTTCATAAATATATCTGAGAATGTTCCTTTTCAATTTTTAAACGTATTCGGAATTTTACAAATTTCGAAACGCCATTTTGTTAGGATAAAATTGCGCAACTCTGTCATAATTTAACCGACCATGTATATATCTTATGTATATCGAAGACTGGAACCTTTGGCACGATAATACACTACACTGTTTTACCACTAACCAAACCGATTTTTTAACGCCTCGACACGTGTTTCGCTAACTATGTTAGCATCTTCAGGAGAAGATTAAAACTAAATATCCTATTCTAGTGTGCTGCTTATATACTAGGTATATGTTCACCCAACTGTGAAAAATACTAACCGTCAAGTTAATGTTTGTCATGGTTGTCATGGTTCCTCTGAGCAAAGAAAGATCCAATGCTGAAAGAGGTGTTGTTTATAAAGTGGCTGGCGTCAATGGGTATGATACCAAAATAGTAGATAAATTAATACGTAGACATAAATTTAAGTTAACACTTCGAAATTCTACGACTTTTCAAGTGGATAAAAAGAACTCTAGAAGAATCCCAATCCCGTTCAACCCCAAGTATACGAAAGGACTTGATAAGGTTTCAAAGACTTAGGTTTTGAAAGCGTTTATCAGTCTGGGTCAAAATTAGGAAATGTATTAGGCAATCCGAAAGATAAAGTGGACACACTTGAAAAGTCGGGAATATACGAAATAAGTTGTAATGATTGTGATAAAACATATATAGGCCAAACCAGGCGACCCATAAAAACAAGGTTCAAAGAACATATAGCCCATTTAAAATATGGCAGGTTAGATAAATCTTGTGTAGCCGAACATATGTTCAATCACAGTCATAACACACATATTACTAACCTCAAATTAGTTAAGCAAGTTAACATTAGAAAACTAGACGCATATGAAAGCTTGGAGATATTTAAGAATAGTAATAGAGTAATGAATAAGGATAATGGACCTATTCCATATAGCCCTCTATATAGTTTAGTGAAATAACATGTGAACTCAACCATGACAAACATTAACTTGACGGTTAGTATTTTTCACAGTTGGGTGAACATATACCTAGTATATAAGCAGCACACTAGAATAGGATATTTAGTTTTAATCTTCTCCTGAAGATGCTAACATAGTTAGCGTCGAGGCGTTAAAAAATCGGTTTTGGTTAGTGGTAAAACAGTGTAGTGTATATATCTTATGGTTCACGAGATCCCAATGATTCCGAATTCCAGCCACCCTCTACACACATCGGGTTACATTGTTAAAAAGTAGTCGTGTTTCCACTCGTTTTCTTCTACATCTAGGAGCAGAACATGGACCAAGACACCGAACAAGAAGACAACACCGAATCGAAAGAAAAAGGCAGAAGAGGGTCGAAGCGCAAGCGCGATTTGTTGTCCGATCTGCGCACTTGGGGTTGGTACAGCCGAAGGAAACTGTCCAAGAAGGCCAAAGACAAGGATTTCACGGTGGAGGACGCTTTGGAGAGGATAGTGCCCAAGAATTTGTTACCACATAGGATCGATCCGGAAAAGTTCAACAACATCGAGGATTCCATGAATACCATGGATTTGTACAACCTGTACATGGATAACAACACGGCGAATTATTTGTCGCCGATTCATTCGCCCAAATCAGTCAATTACGAACCTTATTTCGGTACAGGTAATGATAGTCTCTGTTCTCTTGTTTTTTTCATTGGGTCATGCAAAGTAGTTTTAAATGAAAACCTAGTTAGTAGGCGAGAGATAAAATATTGTGTAACTGGTGACCTCTATATCCTTTAGATTAGCTATTCAGTGACTTGACTGTAGAAGAAACCCCGCGACTATTGCGACGCCATCGTCCTCATCAAAGACCTGGTTTTCCCCGCCTGGCCGAGATCTATTTCATCATTTTGTGAATATTTCTTGGAAACTCATATCTAATATGTAAAATGGACGTGTACACCTTAGTAGAACTTTTAACTCAAACCATGTTTATAATTACCCTTTTATACATAAATAATGATTGACGACATAATTCGACCGAAAAATTAACTGGAATGTTTTATTTTTGGACATAAATAATAGTACCTTCTGAAAACGGACCCTCTTATGACGTAGGAACCTCATCTCGCTATAGTTGAAAGAAAATACCAAACGCCCGACGGAGACTGAAGCAACTGATATATTAATTCTTTCAACTGTGATCTCGCTCTAATTCACTCTGTCAGAAATCATGTATCATTCATCTCTGTCTGGAATAGTCTTGTTTCAGTATCAGGGTTTTGACGTCACATCATCGCCTCGTTTTCCGAGGTCCGAAAAATCGGGGATTTCAATAATTTTTTATAAAACGTAGGAAGCTCACAGCAAGAAACGGTTTGCGGTGGTGAGTTGGTTTGGGTGAGTTCTATCGAATTATGAAATAAAATTTGTTTGTGATATAAGCCTATTCGGTAGGTATGAGAATCGGTCGTAATTGTAATTGTAATTGTTATCCGATTTCATTCAAAATTGGTATTTGGGGGTTTTCATGATCGGAGATTACGATTCTTTCGTCAAATTTTGGAAATTCAGGATGGCGGATAAAATATGGAGGACGAGTTTCATTCAAAATTGGTATTTGGGGGTTTTCATGATCGGAGAGATTACGATTCTTTCGTCAAATTTTGGAAATTCAGGATGGCGGATAAAATATGGAGGACGAGTTTCGTAATTATGGTCAGATTCCATTCAAAATAGGTGTCTGGGGGTTTTCGAGGTCGGATATTATGATTTCTTCATCAAAATTAGGAAATTCAAAATGTCGGATCCAATATGGCGGACGAGTTTTGTAATTATGGTCAGATTCCATTAAAAATTGGTATCTGGGGGTATTCGAGGTCCGAGATTATGAATTTTCATCAAAATTAGGAAACTCAAAATGGCGGATCCAATATGGCGGACGAGTTTTGTAATTATGAACCAATTATATTCAAAATTGGTATCTGAGGGTTTTCTAGGTCGGAGATTATGATTCGTTCGTCAAAATTTGGAAATTCGAAATGGCGGATCCAATATGGCGGACAAGTTTTGTAACTATGATCCGATTCCATTCGAAATTTGTATCTGGGGGATTTGTGGTTCGGAGATGATGATTCTTTCATCAAAATTAGAAAATTTAAGATGGAGGATCCAATATGGCGGACGAGTTTTGTTATTATGATTCGATTCTATTCAATATTTGTATCTGGGGGTTTTCGGGGTAGGAGATTATGATTTTAGTCTTTGAAATTGGGAAATTCAAGATGGCGGATCCGATATGGCCAAAAATACTTTCTGATAGATAGTAGTTCGAAGAACTATAATGAAACACGCTTTTATGGATAGCCGAACTAGAGGCCAAGATAGACAGCTAAACTAAAAAGAAGTGAGTAGAAAATATAGAGTAGTTTTGAAAAACTGAAGAGATAGAGTGTCGAACTAAAAAGAAGTAGAAAATAAATAGAATAGTTTGAAAAACTAAAGATTCCGCTTTTATGGACAGTCAAACTAAAAAGAAGTAGAAATAAAATAATGAAAGTATTTTGATAAATATTTATCTTGAAAAACATTTTTCTACAATTAATTTTTATGGCAAAACAACGTTTGCCGGGTCAGCTAGTGTATCATAAAATTTCAGAAAAATTTGATGAAAGATTAGTTCACGGGTTTTTCTGATTTTCCTTTGTCTATTCCACAGAGATTCCATTCGAATTCCATCAAAAGTTCAATCGTTCAAAATTTCAAATGAAGACCACAGGGGAAAATAGGGGAATGTCACAATATAGTTGAAATTGACTTGACACCGCCATCTGATAGCCTAACCACTATATTTTAGTATAAACAGAAGTCCATGGCAATAACGCAGCATAGTCAGCTATTATGCTCGTTCGAAAATACGTTTACATGGAAAAAAACGCGGAATGTCCACTTCAAAACTAAGGAGAAAACTTACTTTTTGTGACATTCCCGTTTTTCCCCTGTGGTCTTCAAATTTGAATTGCCATCTTCTTGATATCACAATACTGAACATGACCGAACTTTGTCATTTTGCAATATAATAGAATCCTAAATGGTGATGATACAGAAAAAGTTGAGATAAAAAATATGTCCTCCATGTCTTCCTTGTTGTTGTTGAAAATGACAAGATAGAAAAATACTATTAACTACTGATATAAACTATTATCTAGACCGCTAATACCTTAAGAAACAAGCTATGCCACTCACGAGATGGAACTAGAGAACATGAATCATGCGCATTTATGACCTGTCATATATCTTACTCACTCTCACTTGTTTGGATATTAACTATTAGAATCCGTCTATTGGAACTCGTAAGTCTCATACTATTTATATGATGAAATGAAAATATCAAATATTTGAACCTAACATCAGGTAGACACTTCGAAGGCGCAAATTCATTCTTGCATGGGAGATAACCTTCAGATTTTTAGCTATCCAGTGACTTGACCACAAATGACATTCATTAACCATTCAATCTACTCACTTCAATGCTTCCTAAATTCGTCATTTTTTGCACAGACAGAGACAGCGAGGACGTCAAGCGAATGTCAGTCAGTAGTATTTCCACATCCGTTGATGAAATATTTGTTTACGGGCTTTTCTAATTTTCCTCTGTCTATTCCACAGAGATTGTATTCGAATTCCATAAAAAATTCGAAATTTTTAATTTGAATTGCCATCTTCTTGACGTGACAATACTGAACATTACCGAACTTTGTCATTTTGCAAAATGATAGAATCGTAAACGCTGATAATACAGAAAAAGTTGAGCTAGCTTTGAGATAAAATAATATGTCCTCCATGTCTTCCTTGTTACCCTCAAAAATGTTATGTTGATAACATTAAAAATGAGAAGAAATTGAGAATAAGACTGATTTAACTACTGACATTAACTATTATCTAGAGTGGGCACTTCGAAGGCGCAAACTCATTCCTGCACGGGAGATACCAGATTTTTAGCTATCCAGTGACGTGGCCACAAATGACATTTATTAACAATTTAATCTACTCACTCTGATGCTTCCTGAATTCGTCTCTTTTTGCACAGACAGAGAAAGCGAGGACGTCAAGCGATTGTGGAAGAAACCCCGCGACTATTGCGACGCCATCGTCCTCGTCAAAGACCTGGTTTTCGGCCTGGCCGAGATCTGGCAGCACAAGTGGCCTCAGGAGCTGATCCCCCTGTACGTCGAGGCGTACGGCATGTTTCGAGAGCACTGCGACCAGCCTCAGGACTTGTTCTGCAGCGATCTGCCCTTCGAGGTGATACGCAGCGATGCCTTGGCGACTGTTTTGTACGGGGAGCTGGTCAGTTTCGGGTTCGACAGCAAGGAGTCCATTCTTCCCACGTCCATAGGTATCTTTGAGAAATAAAAACAAATTCTGACAGCATAACTTTTGAACCCTATTACTTTTGTAGTTTTGACAGTAGAAAAATAAATGAAAGAGCAACCTAACAGTGTAACAGGTTCAATTTGAAATTCATTCCCACTGCCCTGTATATTTTTTCAGATAGTGAGAACGTATCTCTTCATTCGAGAAGGAAAAAAATGCCTGAGAAACTGTTGTTTGTTTTTTTTTCTACTGTCAAAAATGAAAGAGTTATAGGGGGTGGTATTTTATAACGTGTCACCCGGTAAAATGGAGAAGTTTCCTATTTTATGAGCATGTGGTTTATGACGTATTTTTCATTTTTTCCAAAGGTTCAGATTTAACTTTCAAAAATATTAAAGAATTAGTTCAGGTTTCTTCACCATCCTGCTGACGTCATTAGTAAAATGCTGTTCACACAGAGATAAAATGCAATCTCACTAGCGCGATAATGCCGTTGTCGTTTCCAAATATTTTCAAAAAATTAATAATAGATAAGATGTTTCATTTGAAAAAATTGTCGCGGTCGTCATTACTCAAACATGTATCACCCTGTATATTAAATTCTCCTCCTACGGCTCGTAGTTTTGATAAAGATGTCATTTGCGAAATTACTATATTGTCCGCTAAACAGTATCACCTATTATGGTATCACATATGACAAAAGATTATATGGAAAAATTGTTTCACAGGGGGTGAGAAGAAATTCAATATACGTGCAATAAAAAAATACCGTGCCAATTTTAGTATATGGTAAATCAGAAGAGCTGAATAGTTTCGACACAAAAAAATTCTAAAATTGAAAAATCTCGATTTTGAACACCCTATATCTCTGTAATCATTCCTGCTAGACCCCAAGTATGATAGATACATTGATGAAATTCGCTCTTCAGGAAGAATCTAAACATGCAAATAAATACAGGGTGCTCCATTTAAAATAACGAAGTTGCTAGTTGTTTCTAATAGAAGTGGCAGCACTGTATCGATGAAAATATTCTAGACGGAATGAGAATGTTGAATTATCAAAGCAGCCCAATTTTCAGAATGTTCTGTCTTTTCGTTCTCCAGATACTTCTTATAGGCTATCCACCGTGGATCACCCTGTATATGGCTATTAGTACCGAAATTATACATTAGTTTCAACATTTTGAATTTCGCTACGATTCCATTAAATTTCGTATACGATATATCTTTGTATAAGTTAACACAGCGAATTATTCCATCCTAAATGAATACGAAATTTTAAAATATTTGTGTTAACTTGAAACAATATGGCGAATATTGCCGAAACTTGTTGCATTAATATCCATCTAGATCCGCTGTATAAACAGGTAAACAAAGCGAATTTCAAAATTTTTCCAGCGTTATATGGAAATATAATACCGAAGCAAGATACCAACCACGTGATGAATACCTCCATATTCAGGGTTATTCACATAAGGACCGACATAGAGCAGGGGCATGTAGGGGGTCCCAAAATATGGCAATTTAACGCAACTTACCTCTATACCAAGTTGCTTCCCTAAGGAGTTATAGGCTCTGAAAGTGAAGTTATAAATTTTGAAAAAAATCAATATCTCTGTTATTCTTGAACTTAAAGCAACTAAATCTGGTACACTTTGTGGATGTATTTAGGGCGTTACTTGAAAGTAACTAGAGTTCAATTGAAATTTGTAAAGAGGGTATACCTGGTGGCGCACCATTAATATTCAACAGAATTTTGTTAACCCTTGATGGATTTTGAAAATCTTTGCTTCGTTTTGTGGGCAATTCAATTCTAAAACTTTTCTTAGTCTAGTAATTTCTCGAAAAACCTCATCATTTTCATCAAAAACTCGAATAACTGGAAAAGCGTGCTCTAAGGTGTGTTATTTAAAATCATCGAAAATTCAAAAGTTGGCTATGAAAATAAACGTCAAACTTGACAATGAAGCAAGTAAGTTGTTTAATTAAGTATTTCATCGATAAACAATTGTTTGTTCTGGTTGTTGTTTAAGTTTTTTGTGTTTATTTTGGTTAGTTGTTAATCAAAGTTTTTCACATTTCAGTATCTGTCCTTACTTTACGTATTTTGTTACGTATCTAAATAAAATTTTTTTAGCCAATTTGTACTGATCACAATTAATGACCTACTTTCTTGTTGTACGTTTATTTTCATAGCCAAATTTTGAATTTTCGATGATTTTAAATAACACACATAAAGCGCGCGTTTTCAGTTATTCGAGTTTTTGATGAAAATGATGAGGTTTTTCGAAAAATTACTAGACTAAGAAAAGTTTTAGAATTGAATTGCCCACACAACAAAGCGAATATTTTTGAAATCCATCAAGGGTTAACAAAATTCTGTTGAATATTAATGGGGCGCCACCCGGTATACCCCCTTTACAAATTTCAATTGAGCTCTAGTTACTGTCAAGTAACGCCCTAAATACATCCACAAAGTGTACCAGATTTAGTTGCTTTAAGTTCAAGAATAACAGAGATATTGATTTTTTTCAAAATTTATAACTTCACTTTCAGAGCCTATAACTCCTTAGGGAAGCAACTTGGTATAGAGGTAAGTTGCGTTAAATTGCCATATTTTGGGACCCCCTACATGCCCCTGCTCTACCAACTTTGGTTGCTTTAAGTTCAAGAATAACGGAGATATTGATTTTTTTCAAAATTTATAACTTCACTTTCAAAGCCTATAACTCCTTAGGATGGCAACTTAGTATAGAGGTAAGTTGCGTTAAATTGCCATATTTTGAGACCTCCTACATGCCCCTGCTCTATGTCGGTTCTTATGTGAATCACCCTGTATATTATACAAAACCACTTACCGTCTTTGAAAAAAACTTTCACACACTCAAATGAAAACACAATCACTAAGCCGAATATGAGTTCCAATTTCCCACTCTTCAATACTTCGAGTTTTTTTTTATCATCACTTGAATCGACCGTACACGATGAAATCTAGAACGAGACTGCTGGTTGGTTTGATTCAGTATTCAAATGACTAATTAGTTACGTCATCCTTTCAAGCGATTAATTCCAGAGCAAGTATGACTAATTCCGATATCGATAGTGGGTACACGGGGTGTAGTGAAAAGAAATTTAAGGATATTTTCTTTCATTTTCTAATATATACGAGGTGTTTTTGAAATGAGTTCATATAATCTGCAAATCAATAAAATATAGGCTAACGAAAAATTTTATCCTGAAAATTTATTGAAAATGGGGAAAAAACCTCAAGGCAATTTGAATGATTGAACTCCGCGTGAATGTGCCTTTCGCACGAAAATTTGTACGGTGTACAGTGGTGATGTCAGAATTGCTACAGTGTAGAACTTTTGGTGGGAAAAAAATTTCATCCTGGATTTTTATTTAATCCCTATATTTTTTTAAGGGTGCCATTCAATAGTATTCGTCGAAATTATTCAGGGTTTGAAATATTTGTATATATTTCAATGTCACCTATTACCCTGTATATTTGGCTGAGTGAGGTTACATTTCTTATAAAAAGTAGTCTCCTTCTTCACGCAGAAAGGATATTTTCCTTCTGTATGTACAGGGTGGTTTATTAAGAATGGGAAATCTCTTAACTACATATAGTAAATACCAAAATAATATATATATAAAACATGCCTTATAGAAATGTTGCAGATACAGGGTGTTTGTTTTAACTTTGGTCGTACATTTACTTTGATATTCTGTTTGTTCTTGGCGTTCTTCGTGATTGTCATCATTGATCACTGTGTAACAAAATGTACCGTTTGTTCGTGAGATTAGTTCAGAGTTTACATAGAAAAACACATTTTTGTAAGCTATTCAAAAATGGGTGAAACAAATTGGATGGAATTCAACAATAAATAAATATCTAGTAATCCAACTGCGAGTTGAAAAACTTGTGGCTACGTAAATCATCTTGTAGATTAGAATATATAAGCATGGGCTTGGCAGGAAAAATTTCAATACAACTTTTCAAACATAAGTCATTTTTCCTCGAACCTCACCAGACAAACCAGGTTAACTTTATGATGACGTCACGTAACTTTATTATGACCTCACGGTTTACTTGTGAAGATTGACAGATGTCAGTTTATCAGCTGTTTTTGTTTATTGTTTGCTTTTAGTAAAATACTAATATCACAGTCTGATCCATCATATGTAACAAAAATATATAAGTATTATTAGGTATATGGGAACAAGGTACCTACTTACCAACTTCAAATTCAAGAAAATTGGAAGAATTTGCTACGTACATATGATTCTTTCCTGATTGCCTATTGATTTCGATTCAGCCAGGCCACGCTAGACACCTACAGACCGGTTTCGAGCTCTTTGACTCTCATCAGTGCAGGGCAGTCTCCAGCCAGCAGTCCTAAGACTGCCGAAATCAATAGGCATTCAGGAAAGAATCACTTGTATCAGTATTCGTTTATACGAGTCGATGCATAGATTTCGGGGCAATGTAATTCAATGTTCTGCGTGGCATTAGCCAAGAAAGTAGTTGTTTTTCTCCCGAAGACTACCATTGTTGTTCATTTCATGAACATTGTGTGGAAATGACTCTTGTATTTATATAACAACAAGAGCCCAATCCACAATGAAAAGCCTCAGCTACTCTGTGAACTACCTCAGTGAGCTGGTTTGTGTGGTTGGTTAACTATAACGTCATAGTTTGGAATACACTTCGAGGAAAATTGACTGGTTAACTGGTTTGTGTGGTTAACTTCGATTATATTTCCGAAGGTTACCTTCAAATAGTCAGCGGCTGGCACGCAGACTGGAAAAAAGAGTCCTCAATGTTCTTCAACCGCGTCCACTGGCTGCGATCGCACCTCTTCCGCAAAGAGAACCTCAACGATCTGGCCGTGAGGGCGCTCGAACTCATCCAAGAGGTAATTGGAGAGGAGGAGGAGGAGGAGGAGGAAGGTGTCGGGAGGAGGGAACGGTAAGGCTGCGACACAATCAAAGTTTTATGTTATTAGTGTCAGTTATTGTGTTGATAGAGTGTCCTGTAGTCACAGATTTTTTGCATTGTTTTTTCATTGTCGATCTAAATGAAAACCTAGTAGGCGACCTAGTGCGAGGAGGTAAATTTTTTTTTATGTATGATGAATTGATATTTATCATAAAGGACGTGGAAGGAAATTCGGCATTGAGAAAACCTAATCACGAATCTGCGATTGAGGTCTATAAAAATAACGAATTTCCATCGATCAAGTTTGAACCCTTTGATTGGGTGAAAGTATCAGAGTTTATACAAGTATACTTCTCATATACATTTCAATTTTCATTTCGATACTGAACATATTGGTAAGTTATATTTTTATATCATAATATACATACTATTTTATTCGATTTGAGAAATGATGCCAATTCTCAATTTCAGAGGATATTCACTTTTCATGCTCTCTATTTGGATGTTCAACAGATATAATTCAATGTTCGACGTGGCAAATAGCCTGGAAAGTAGTTATTTTTTGTTAAATATTCAGAATGATATTATGTTCATATCTTTATATAAAGGAGAATGCAAATTCTCTACTTCAGAAGATTTTGTTTTCAAATTCTTATCGTGTGTTCAATAGATGTAATTCAATGTTCGTCGTGGCATATAGTCAGGAAAGTACTTGTTTTCTGTTGAATAAAGCTAGAAAGAATTGATATTTTTATCACATAGAGAATGCGAATTCTCAATGTATTTCTTTATATACAGGGTGGCATTGAAATAAGTGCAAATATTTCAAACACTGAGAAAGCTAGACGTGTACTATCGAATGGCACTAATAAAAAAAATTTTGGGACCCAAATAAAATTTGAGGTTAAACCCTTCTTTCTACCCAAAGTTCTACACTGTAGCAAATCTGACGTCACCTCTGTTTAAATTTCCATGCGGTAGACACAAACACGTAGAGTTCAATCATTTAAATTATTTTAAAGTGGCGTACTTGATTTTCTTCTCGTATTTTGTTCAATTTTTGGGATGAAATTTCTCGTTAATTAAAAAAAATTAGAAAAAATATGATATCATGGGAATATTCCTCAGACTGTATCATATTAATGTGCTGAATATGTGCACTTATTTCAAAAACACCTTGTATATATCCATTTTTTATGTTCATAATTATATCTGAGAATATTCCTTTTCAATAGGTATAATATTGTCTGTTCAGTGAATCGAAATATGTCTGCCTGTCAAGAGGCGCTGGGGAAGGGAATATGGAGAGAGCTCATTTGTTTATGTCAATATTAGGTTGACATTCTCTTCTTCTATTTTTCTACAATCTGTACTCAACCACAGACGTGATTACCATCATTGACGTGATATTCCATAAAAAGGCGATACAGGCGAACAAGAAGATTCTTTCCTGATATGTCGTAATCTAAAATTATTTTCTGACAGTTGTCATTAACTTATAACTTCGTCTTTGTGGATGTGTTGAACTTTGAATTCGAATCTTCGAAAATTACAATTATACATAAATATTTCCTTCTAGTATTGGTTGTTCTATTATAGTTTGTTGATTGGTTCGTGAGTGCGATTGTGTTATTTTGCAAAATCATCTGAAAATTTTGCACTCTAGGAGGTGGAGGTTTAAAATTATCCAGACATGGTTTCCCCAATCCCCACTGTTGTGAATTTGAGCCTCAAATCCTGAGGCATCAATGGGTTTATTCCATATTCATCGGATAGCAAGGTGCAATTTTTTTCTTGAATCGCTCATTTGTAACTTGATGCATTTATACTTCAGGAATGGGGATTTTTTAGAACCACAATGTTTTTTTTTGTATGCAACTTTTATTACAACATTTTTTTGCTCCAGGTTGTGTCCCTAAAATCTAAAATTTTTCCCGTGTATAATACACTATTTTTTTCTGTGACAGTAAAAAGGACGTAGCAATATTAAAAGATATTACATCATATTAAAATCAGACTCCACTCGCCTATTATTGTATTCTGGTTTATGGCACAGTTTTCTGGTCACGCCTCTCAAACAACCTTATTGGTGGAATTTCAGGTTTTATATTTCAATTCTGTTCTGCTCCCTGTTTTTATTTTTGTTTCATATCAGTGTGACCCCTGTATCTTACGTAATCGTTGGGTAAGGATCCTGAAATGTGCTGGAGCGAGAGATATACCAAAAATGCACTCTATGACCAAGTGGGGCCATCTTCAGTGATATACACTGCTCACCAACGGCAATGACACTACTCTATTAGGAAAATTATATTTGGAGTCAAAATAGGTTGAAAACCACTTCAGATTCGGAATCCGGACGCCCAATTCACTAACAATTCATATTTTTCCTAGAAAATGTTCAGTTCAGAAAAATTAAATTTTTTATCACTTCTTATGGAAGCACCCCCGTATCTCACGTAATTATTGAGGTAAGGTTCTGAAATTTGCAGTAGGAAGGTAAAGTCCAAAGATAAAGCCAATTACGTAAGATACGGGGCTGCTTTCGTAAAAAGTGCGACAAAATTTAATTTTTCATAACTGAAAATTTTCCAGGAAAAATATGAATAATTAGTGAATTGGGTCCTGATTCCGAATCTTAAGTGATTTCCAATCTATTTTGCTCCTAATATCATTTTCCAGGAATTGGGGTGGTTCTATGGCTTTTTGCAAGAGGTGTATAACACTGAAGATGACCCCACTTGGTCATTGAGTGCATTCTTGGTATATCTCTCGCTCCAGCAATTTGATTCTTACCCAACGATTACGTAAGATACAGGGTGTTTCCATTAGAAGTGGGTCACACTGTCATATATCTTAAATTTTGAAACTGATTGCATAAAACTTGAATTGTGTCGCAGCCTGTACATGTTGAGTCTGCCGAATTGCGCCCGATACGGGCTGATCAGCAGAGAGATCACGGAGAGGATTCTGCGGCATTTGGATTTGATCAGTTCGTTGGGGGATGTCGAGGGGTTGTTCAATGCCGAGAGGTATGAGGAGGTGGCCGGGATCGTGAAGTTGACGTTCAAAAGTGGCGGTACGCACCATCAGGTATGTATGAGATGTTTATAATTCCTCTGGTGTGCAATATTCCGATTTCAACTGTCAGTACTGAATCTGCTGATTTTTCATTCTGAAATCAAAAAAATTCACTGAAAGTGACAGAAACTGGCTATATTCCGAATTCAACTGACAGTACTGAATCTGCTGATTTTTCATTCCGAAATCAAAAAAATTTACTGAAAGTGACAGATACTCGTGAGCAGATATACTATTCATTCCAAATATTTCGACTCAACATCCTGCTGAAATTGCTGACTATCAAAAGGTAGTGTGGCTTCAGTGAACTGTCATTATTTTTGAGGGGAAAGGAATGACACATTCATCTCCGTTGTTTTTCAAACATTAAGTCTTGGCTTATCAATAATACATTAATAATATCATTTTGATATCAGGAATAAGTTGAAAATATCAAATTTAGCTTTCAATGAAGTCAATACAGTCCATAATTATGGGACTAGACAATTGAATTACTTGATAGCAAATACATTCAAGTCAAACATTGGCAAACAATCTGTTTTTCACAATGGAATAATTTTATACAATTCATTACCGAATGAGTTAAAAAATATACATGATGCAAGAAGGTTTAAAATCAATCTTAAAAAATACTTGCTCAGGACAATTTGAAAGAAAAATATGTGGCATGATTTGATTACTTAGGAATGAAATATAACTTTAATCTTATAAGACACAATATTAATTCGTTTCCACTGAGTGGAATTTATTATAGTTAACCCTTTATTATTATTTTTTCATATGTATTTATGTATCCCTATCATAAACAAAAATGTTTCTTGGGGTAATAAAGACAATCAATCAAATGCCTGTTATTTATTTAGCTCAAACAGGAGCATCTGCCAGATCAATGACAACTGACAAATTTCACCAGCTTATCAACTGCTGCTGATTACTGATGGAAACGTCTTCCGAATCACAGCACTGTATTTCTGATTTTATATTTTGGAACGAAGATTTTCAGCAGAGTCAGTGGATCAACTTACAGTACTGACCAGTTGAATTCGGAATATAGCCACTGTTGAGCAGACATACTATTCATTCCAAATAGTTCGACTAATTCACCATCATTGTGGATTAGTCATAATATACAGGGTGATTGTTTATATTTCACTCAATAGCTGTTTCAGTTAATATTGGTCTTACAAATACGTTCAAATGGGCAAATATTGATTATTTTTTACGGGCATTCAGAATTCAGTACTAGGATATGCAAAAAAGCATCATAAACCCAAAAATTTTACACAAACTGGTATTTTTTAATAGAACTGTATTTCATTTTTCTAATCGGTTTAACTTGTTCTTCTGATTCTATGGTCTGATTCTGAAATATTGAGCAGGCATCTCGAGCAGTACTATCGAAAAAAAAGCTAATATGATACCCTAAAAAAATTGATACACTCTCAAGTCGCCTTCATTCTCTATCAACCTTATACGTCGAAGGAAATTCGGAATCAATGATTGTAGACCCCTTCAGTCGCAATTTCTTTTTTTTTTATTTTTAGAAATTCCTAAATCCCGACATTTTTCAATTGTTGCTTCGTTTAGGTGGGTAGAATGGGCAGACCTGCCCAATTGGGCATTCTGATGCACTCGCTGTGGTTCACCGATCTGCCGCAGTGCTTCGTCTGGACGGAAGAATGCTTGAACGAGTCTTTCGACCAATACCTCAGGTTAGTTGTACAGGGTGGACCAAGTTGGACATTCAATGTTTTTGTTTGAACGGAAAGTTCTATTCATGCAGTACACTCACCGGCATACTCGCTGATTTGAATGATGAAATTTCCACCACATCGTAGATTTACCTTACGGAATGTTAGCCTGAATCTTCGTTCCCAAGAAATGTTGATGGTTTGATCATTATTCAAGGAAAAACAAAAGTTACTCTTTCAACCCTCAACTTGAACTGAATATTTGTAAATAAAGAGAAAACAATCGATACTTCCTCAAAACACTTGTATCTCCTCCTGAAAAGATGGAATTGACGTGAATTAAAAGCCACTTTGTGAAGAAGGGATCACACCAGAACATAATGAGCTGATCTTTGGTAGAAGTCCATATTGCTCAAAGTGGCTCGAAGTCATCTCCACAAATTTTAATGGTGTTATACAATCAGAAGGGACATGTTTCGGTCTTATAAAAAACCATCTCCAGCCTAATTGAAAGTTCTACATTACAAAAAGATTGATGTGAAAGTATTATATAATTTATTTGTTCTTGACTTGGAGTTGAAAATATGTGATGCTACAAGTCGTGAAATTTTTGGGCATTGACAACAATTTCACAACTAGTAGCATCACATTTTTTCAACTCCAAGTAAGTAAAGAACAAATTATGTAATTCTTTCACATCAATCTTTTTGTATTGTAGAACCTTGAATTAGGCTTAAGATCGAAACCTGTCCCTTCTGATTGTGTAACAACACCATTGAAATTTGTGGAGATGGCACTTTGAGCAATATGGACTTCTACCAAATATCAGCTCATTATGTTCTGGTGTAACCACTTCTTGACACAGTGGTTTTTACTTCACGTCAATTCCATCTTTTCAAGAGAAGATACAAGTGTTTTGAAAAAGTATCGATTTTTTTGTCTTTATTAACAAAAATGCAGTTCAAGTTGAGGGTGAAAGAGTAACTTTTGTTTGTCCTGTATAATGATCGAGCCATCAGATTTTCATGGAAACTAAGATTCAAGCTAACATTCCAAAACGTGAATCTACAGTTTAGTCGAAATTTTACCATAATCTGACAAAAATTAGAAAAGTTAGAAGGCGATTAACTTGAGAATTTTTCCTGGTCGGTTTTTTTGCCGGTGAGTATATATACAGGGTGTTTCATAATTGAATGCTGATCCTAAAGGGCGATAATCCTTGGATGATTTTAAGACAAATTCTTTATGTGAACATAGGTCCGTAACTTCTTAGTTTCTGAGATACAGGATGTTGAAATTTAACAAAAAAATCAGTTATTCCCCAATATCTCTGAAACCGCTCAGGCTTTTTTCTTCAATTTTGGTACATGCCAAGTATGAATAGAAATACATTTTTTCCATAATAAAGGATTTCTTAATTTCCATCAGTGGCGTCCCTGTTAACATACCCTGTCATATTTTTCATCAAAATAATGATACGCCACTGTCTTTTTTCCAAATAAATATTATTTTTGTAATTATCCTCTATCTTCTCATAAAAATGGTCTCTTGTCTTTTTTTCGTCCGGCGAACGGTTTTTGAGTTAGAAAATAAAATGCATTCATTTGCTTGTCCCTATTCGATTTTTACTCTTAGTCATAATTTCACAATTGTGGTAACAAAAAGATCTAAGCAATATTTTTTATAATTTTATGGTATTTATTTTTAAGTTTCTGTAATGAAGAAAAAAGCCAGAGCGGTTTCAGAGATATTGGGGAATATCTGATTTTTTTGTTAAATTTCAACATCCTGTATCTCAGAAACGAAGCTGTTACGGACCTATGTTCACATGAAGAATTTTTCTTAAAATCATCCAAGGATTATCGCCCTTTAGGATCAGCATTCAATTATGAAACACCCTGTATATACCCCTGTAACTTCGTAATTCGTGAACGGATTTTACTGAAATTTGGTACAGTTGTATAAGCAATCATTGCGGATTTGATCATATTACAATCCAATATGGCGGACTTCCGGTTTTTATGGAAATGCCAGCAACTTTGTTTTTTCAAATGAAACACCTTGTATTTTTTCACATATTCAAGTTCAACAGGTCAAAACAAGTGCAATTTTTATGTCAAATGTCATTTTTTCGAATAAATTTGATGTTTTTTACATCGTGGATTCATGAGTGGTCAAGGATATGTTGTTTAACACAGCTCATTTAGTTGAAAAATTATTCAAACTGTCTTTATTACCCCAAGAAACAATTCTGTTTATGTTGGGGATACATGAATACATATGAAAATGAAACTATAATAAAAGGTCAACTAATGAATTCCACTCAGTAGAAACAAATTTCAACATTTCATTTCCTAGTAATCATATCATGCCACATATCAATCAAATTGTCCTGAGCAGGTAGTTTTTCAGATTGATTCTTAATTTTCTAAATTATTCCATGGTGTAATACAGATTTTTTACCAATGTTTGACTTGGACTAGTTATTGATTTTGAAAGAATATAATTTTTTACTGCACCGCCAAACAAAAATTGATCTCATTTTCGACCTCAATGTATGTTCTGAAGAGACATTTAGGTGGGTTTCATTTGAAAAAACTGAATTTTTCTAATTTTGACATGTAATGTGACACTTTTCAAAACTGACGGAAGTTTTGAAACGTCTTACTTTACGTAACCAGTTGCGTAAAGTAAAATTTTACATAACTGGTGATGTAATGTTCATTTCATTCATTCATTTCACACAACAAGAGTCGGCAGAACTCATGTAAAACTGGTCATTATTTTTGTTCATGCGAAATGTTTCGTCAAAATTAGAAAAAATATTGTACGTGACACGTTAGGACACGCCATTTTGTGTAACTCTGTGATGTTGCGGGATCTCGCTTCGCTCGTCCCGCAAAATCACATCGTTACACAAAACAACGCGTTTCCTAACTGATTACGTAAATATCTATTTTGAACAGAATGTGATGTGACTGAATTGATTCATCGATAAGTGATACAAAAAGAATGTGTCATCAAAATTGATCTCAGATTATCGTTCGTTTTCGTCTGAATAATTTACAAATGAGTGTTTCCCTTCCAACTTCTATTGAATTTAAACTTCTAATGAAATATTTTCTTGCTTATAATATTTTTAACATTGATCGATAAGTGCCACAAAAAGGATTTGTCATCAAAATTGTTCTCAGATTATCATCTGTTTTCGTCTGATTAATTTACAAATGATGGTTTCCCTTCCAACTTCTAATGAATTGAACTTTCTAATGAATTATTTTCTTGCTTATATTTTTTTATCATTGAAACATATTTTTTTGTGCGAGTCTGAACCAAATTCAATCGTGAAATCGGACAATAAATAAGACTTTAACTGACTTTATCTGAGAAAAACTTCCTCGCTATCAAAGGTTCAGCAAAGACCACGACAAGTGGAAGAGCGTAGTCGAAAAATGTTTGGCCATCCTGCAAGAGATCATCAAGAAAGAGACGGTCGCCGTCATCGACTTATTGGAAGAGGCAAAAAGGGCGAGATTGGTCGAGACTTTGGCTAAAATAGTTTCGAAACAGTTGAACGCCGACGCTATGACCAACATCCCTCTCAACTGCGTCACCCCGTGGATTTTATTGCACTATATTCTACAGAGGTGAGTTTTCATTCCATTAGGAAATGGGTCTTTCTGGTATTCCGCCATTTTTGGCAGTAATGTCACATTGGTAAATCTATAAAAATCCGGAGTCACCCAATTATGCATTGAAAAATATCACCCTTCAAATACACTCATTATAAAGCTGAACCAAATCATCATATTCTCTCTTTCTTCCCTTCAGAGATTGAAAACCTGTGACATTCGAAAATATTCTCTCGAAATTCTAGATTATTCTCGAACATATTAGAATGTTCTAGAACACAGAATCCTCAAACATCCTTATTCTTGAACAAACTGACTATTCTAGATCATTCTAAAGTATTTTATGACATTCTAGAGTAATCTCAAACATTCTAGAATATTCTGGAGCATCCTAGAACATTTCAGAACATTCCCAAACATTCTGAAATATTTTAGATCATTCTAAAGAATTCTCAAACATTCTAAAACATTATCGTACATCCTTGAGCATCCTAGAATTTACTAGACCATTCTAAAAAATTCGAAGACATTCTCATCTTGGATCATTTTCGATAATTATGAAATATTTCGAAATATTAGTACATTCTAGAGTATTCTCAAACATCTTGAAACATTCAGGAATAGTATCAAACATTCTGAAATATTTCAGAACATTATAGAGTATTCTCAAACATCCTTGTATATTGTATACTCTGCTCGAACATTCTAGAACATTCTCAAATGTTTAAATATATTCTGGATCATTCTAGAGTATTCTCAACCGTTCTAGAACATTCCCAAAGATTCTCTTTTTTTTTAATTTTCTATAACTTTCTAGAGCATTCTCAAACATTATGGAGTTGAGTTTTTCTAGACTACATCAATCGGCATTTCAGACCAAAAAATTGCCCTGCCGAATTGGAAATCGCATGTGAAATTTTCTCATTTAGTTCCCTGGAAATTCTGAAAAAAAACTCATGGCAAATCATTTCCGATTTGATTTCTCTAACATTAAAAAAAAAATCATAACGACCTAACCATTGGAAAAAATCTCGAATACTCCTAAGTCATTTATCTATAAATATATTTTTTCGGGAAATTACTGAAAAGAGTCATCATTTAATACGGTCTGTACTCTTTATGGTACTTTAAGGGAGGAACACAGACAATATGCAAGCAAAAGAATGAGCCAAAGCAAACGTGATAGAGTTGATGAGAGCCAAAGCCAAAAAGAAGAGGAAAATGAATTACCAGCTTCTATTGCAATTCTGTTTTCAGCACACGAATTTTTGGGTATGTTCATTTCAATAACTACTGTCCTTTTAATAGTACATGAAATTTATTATATTTCAGGTGCTAAAAATTGGTGCATGACGAATCAAGGGGAGCTTTTGCATTTTATATTGGACACTGTCTTAGACAGAATCGATACTCCCATATTTGATAGATTGAGAAATAAGATCGATGTACATATTGAGCAAGCCATGTTCTGTTTATACCAACATCCCAGCAAGAAAAATAAGGTAATTGGTAATAATGGTAAAATCTATACTGTAATTCAAAATAGTCTCTTGGAAATGGTTGCTGCATGAATAGCCATTCAACTTCAACACAATCAACAGGATAGTCCAATGCATCAACCTCACAATCACATTACCTTCTTTTCATCTACACTCACCGACAAAAAAAAACGACCAGAGAAAAGTTTTGCCAAATGGATCGCGATTTAACTTTTTTAATTTTCGTTCGATTTTGGTGAAATTTGGAACAAATCGTAGATTCACGTTCCGCAATGTTTGCCTCGATTTTACTTCACAAGAAATGACTTGATCATTATACAGGGTGTATCTAAATAACACCCAAAAAATTCTAGGGGTGATTCCTAGTGTTATTCTAGCAAATGAAGTTCATATAACCATGCGTCCTAACTTGCTCCGTTTTTGAGATACAGGATGTTGAAGTTGGAAATATTAATTGTTTCTATTTATTATCCCTCTGTTTGAGCTTTCATGGTGCCAAAATTCAGTATAGTTGGAGACTGAGAAAGTCCCAAAATTTCAAAATGATACTAATTGGGGTTATTGAGTAATCTCAATGGAAGTCTTGAAAACACGCCTACATTAAAATTTGGAGTCAAATCGAATTTTTATTGTTTTCTCAAAAATTGAGCTAGATACAAAAATTACACGAAGGATAAAAAAGTTGTTAGTTCAATAGTTCAATCTAATAAAAATATGAAACTAGAAAACCCGGTGGTGTACAATGACATTCACCATAAACATCGATAAACTTCCCCACCGTGACGCCACTGGAAATATTATTTAGAATCTAATTGCACCAGAAGAAGCTCCATATTAATAATAGCAAAACCACAACGTTTTATTGAAATTGATGAAAAGACAATTGAGTAATGAATAAAAAAACGATTTTCCATGGAAATATTAATACCTTGTATCTCGAAAACGAAGCAAAGGACGCATGTTTATATAAACTTAATTTCCTAAAATATCACGAGAAATCACCCCTTGAATTTTTTCGGTTTTATTTAGATACATCCTATATAGGTGAATTGAATTTTCAAGGCCCTATTGCAAAAGTGAACTATCAAACTTGACTTGAGTAGTTTTTGATTCTCGTCAATATCTTCTTTTAAGAGAAGATACAAGTGTTTTAAGAGAGTATGGATTTTTAATTTTTGTATAAACAACAGTTCAGAACCTACATGAACTTATCATTTAACAAATTAGAAAAACATGTAAAAACAATATGGCCCATTTACACTTATGTCAGCACTCACCGGCAAAAAAACAATAATTACAAAAAACGAACAAAAAGCAGAAACAAAACCTTCTACTGCCTTGGCAAATTCCTCAAGCAGTCCTGAGGAATTCCTCCAACTTCTTTTTTAATGGCAAATCGTAGTTCTTGAAGGCCGAACGAAGCTGAATGCGCCTCTGGAGCTCATCCCAATGGTCCTCTTGAGGTTCTGAATTATTTTTAATAAAAAATGAAAAATTCCATAGTTTCTTGTTTCATCTCTTGAAGGAAAGATATTGACGTGAGTTATAAACCATTGTGTTGTGCTATGAAGATATCACATTTTAATCAAAAACATAATGATGCTAAGTATATTCACTCACTTTCGCCACAGGTCGTTAAGAAGTTTAGTATTAAAGAAGTTACAGGGCAAGTGTGAAAACTTCACAAACGATAAAATTTCTACAAAATTCTTAAACACACAACATGTTTCGCTAACACAATACCTTCGTCAGGTGATATACTGGTACAATGAACTAAACCAACCTTGGCTTGCTTAACTTTTATATATCCTACTTTCCCAACTTGAAGGATTAGTTACCTGTGGACATGTTCGATTTACATTCATTTTCGGAAATTAGGCACAATATCTACATCAAAATACGGTGTATTGAAATCACTTGAAAGGGTCGATAGCAAATACATATTATTACCTACTAAGAAAACAAATTCAACAGTGGTGAACTATTGAGGTCTAATTGATCATTAAGTAAAATGTTAAAATTTTTGTCTTTGTTGATTTCTAATGATTCAAAATGATTGAGTTTCATTCCTTTATTCTCAACGTGTTGAATTTGTTTTCTTTATCAAAAAATTCATCCCATGTTTATGATTGCGCTGATTAAACGTACAACCTGTCTGACCGATATATACCTTAGGACAAGATCCACAGTTGAGTTTGTATACCACTGATTTTTCGAATTTTTGTCTTCATTATTTTTGATAAACCTTCCCAACGTTTTATTTGTTCTATATGCTACTATGCTAGTCCTGTTTATGTATAAATGAAGCTAATTTTTCAGTTGATGATCCGAAATAGGTTAAAATTCTATAATATCGATTATTATTCTTGATGGTAGGATAAAGTTCTTGAATAGCTTTATTATGAAGCTTTTTAGAAAGAATACTGTCTACCATATTAACATGTCCACAGGTAACTAATCCTTCAAGTTGGGAAAGTAGAATATATAAAAGTTAAGCAAGCCAAGGTTGGTTTAGTTCATTGTACCAGTATATCACCTGGCGAAGCTACTGTGTTAGCGTTACATGTTGTGTGTTTCAGAATTTTGTGGAAATCTTATCGTTTGTGAAGTTTTTACATTTGCCATGGATTTCCATCAAGTAACGGCCGAGTCAATTAAAAAAAAAGTTACAGGGCAATTAATTTTGCAATATTTTTTCATGGCTGTTTTTTTTCCGGTGAGTGTATCAACTGGACTCCTACGAATAATAACTTAGATAAACAGACTATCGAGCATAATTTTCTGTGAGACGCAGCACTTTCCGACTAATGTACCACTTGCTTTTTTTTAAGGTGTCGAGACATCTAGCGGACCACAACGTGGACCCGTTGCCGTTGACTTGGGAACGATCGTTCCAACTGTTCGAATTCTACGGCCCCGATAGCCTGCCCGAATTCAATTCGTACAAGAACGCCTCTGTCTCTGCCGATTTGGAGCAGCTGCTCAAACGGATTATAGCGCTAGTCCCACAAACGTGCGCTCCCCAACAACACCTGCAAAAGGTAATTCAATAGATGATTCATTCGATTTGACTTGAAAAACTTTGAAATTCAAGATATGGCATTGTTTGTCATATAACCTAATTGTACACCTTTGCACTTTTGTTACTATGGTAGATAGATTTTTATCAATTCATACATCAGGATTAACTAAAATCAACGTTACACTACGTAGAAAACCACTTTTTAAAAAAATTGGCGTAGTCGGTAGGATTTCTAAGATTGTTGCTCTGAATATTTTCTCGTGTTCGTTCGTTCTGTGTATTATTCGTATCAATCACGAAGCTTTTAAATGTTCATACTGCTTCACATTTGTAGCACTCTTTTACTGAGGTGTCACAATGGCGCTTTTAGGACTCATACCCATCTCTTAATAAACCCGTTTCGGACTTTTGGACGATAGATTTTCTGGGATGGTTTGCTTCATCAGCTCTTACAAACTGAGTTTATTAAAGTGCTGGAAGATATAAAAGATGCTTATTCTAACCAGGATCTAACAATATATACTCTACTAGATATGCTCTTGCCTCACCGTCCTGTACAAAGCATTGAAAATCACGTAAAAAGAGTATGACTGCATATCTAACAAAAACACTAGTTTCACTCAATCATCAGCTGGTAGTTGCTCGATGCCTCTTGTCAGCTGATTTATCTCTCTAGGCAGTATCTAGGAGTTCGGTATTATTCGATCATTAAATTTCTCCGATATCCTACTAAACTCGAGATCCTACTAACAGCGCCTTTCATTCTGTTCACATTGAACTCGTCATTCTATTTTTTCTTTATGAAATATATACATTTTGAAAATATGAGATGGGTAGATACAAACATATCATGGTATATTTGGCTACGCAAGCTACGTTACTGGTAATATAACGCTGCCTGTTCACTTACTACGTGTGGGGGTGATGACCTACATGTCTATAACGCAAAAAGTAAGTTAAATCCTTTGATATCTCGAAAAACTCGCGATCCTACCGACTGCGCCAATTGTAATTTCACATGAAGCAGTCTGTGTCATGCCAATCATCTCAATTTCTCGGGATATAAAAACGATATATTGTACTCAAAACGGACTATCTTCTCAAGGTCATGGACTACATTCACGGTAAGACGGAGGCATTTCCTCAGGCGATAGTGTTCCCCGACAAAGTGCGCTCCATATACTACCTCATCGGCGACTTCTACTTCAAGCAGAGGGAGTTCGGCAAGTGCATCAAGTACTTCCAGATGGACCTGTGCATCAACCCGCTGAGGCTCGATTCGTGGGCCTGTCTAGGTTAGGCTTTGATAATTTTGATTCAAGAAGGTGCTTTCGAAATCATTGCATTATTCGGTATTTATTGAGGAATAGTTTACTTTAGGAGTATGAAGAGAACCAAATGAAATGGAGAGGTTTTCATTACAGTACAAAGATGGAATCAGCATTTTTCGTTAACGGTTTTGTGTCATATATTTCCGGGTGCGACCAAGTTCAAAATGTCCTGCTACATTTTTATTTTACCAGACGTGTCAACATTAACCAAGATACAAACTTCTCATTATTTTAGGTGTTGATGGCCATGTATAGATTGTGGTTGAACATAATAATGTTCAACACACGCGATTTTTTTCAGTTCTATCAAACTTTTAATATGCTTGTGTGCTCCTTGAATCTTGTTTCGATGGATCTTCTAGTTTGACCTACATATGTTTTGGTTGAGAACGAAATTCTTCATCACATTCAACTAATTTAGGGATACCCTGTCTATATAGTCAGGTATTTTAAACAGTTCTAAATTCGACGAGCTTATTGCTGTATTATCACTGCCAATAATTTTAGTAGATAAGATCACACCCAAGAAAACCTCTACCAACGAATCACCAAACTCTCATTTGTTTGGGTTCTACGAACCCTTGTAGAAGCAACTCTCGAGAAGGAGCCTATACACTGTGTCTCACTTCAGACGATTCTCCCCTTTATATATTAGCTATTATTCGTGCGATTCTTATCAAATTTGGAACAGTATGAATAACCACCAATATGATCAAATCTTCAGAGACGAACATAATTTTGAAAAGTGGTCAATTTTGTATGAAATCATATTAGGATTTTGTTACAGGAAACTGACCTCATAATATTGTTCTTCATGATGTCAAACTCTGATATGCGATTTTTCATATGATTTCTATGAAGGGTTCCAAAAAAAAACAGGCACTTTGAAAAAGCATTTTTCCAAAGGAAAAAGTTATTTACTCGGAAACGGTGCATTCAATTCAATTTTTATTTCAAACCATAATGTTCTACCTACCAGAGCAATTGAACTTTCCAAAATTCGCAGTTAATTTTAATTCACTATTTCATCGAGGCAGAAAATGAAGGAAAATAAGTCAATCCTGTTTACTTGGAATGAGGTGATTTTTTGCATATATAGACCATACAGCATCAGGAGCAAAACTATGAAGTTAGTTCTCTTGGAAAAAATTCCTAATATGATTTCATATAAATCGATCCCATTTTATTTCAATAAAAGAGCATGGCACTGTCCAACAGGATGTTCGTATCTGAAAAACTGATCATATTGATGGTTATTCATACTGGTCCAAATGTTGGTGCAAATTGCATGACTAATAAGAGGGGGGGGGGGCATTTAAAGTGAAATGGGCTGTAGACAATGAACTCAATATAAACACCTGGAAGGGAGACGGCCGGTTTCTCGAATAGCACAAAGTGTGCCAGGGGCAGCTGCAACAAAGATAGCTTGTGTTACGGTAACCTTTCTCTTTCATACTCGTGTTGTTTAATGGCGGATTGGTGTATAAATTTTCTTTTATCCAATGATTGGAGTACTTGAGATCTTTTTTTTCATTTAAACTGGCAAAAAAGTGAAGACATAACTATATTGTTTTTTGTTATGTGAAACATCGCTAAATTTGGCGTGTTTTGTTTCTTCAAAAGGACTGAATTTGTTGGTGTGTATTGATTGTTGTTGAAAAGGCTAGTGATTTTGAATTAATAAACAATGGTTATTTATATTGTGTTACTTTGGATGCAAAACAAGCAAGCCAAACAGAAATTGTCCTCCATGGGTAAGTTGAAAATTGTTCAGATTCTTATAAAAACTATAGTAATTTATCTTCAGGATGTGTCTGTGGATGTTCATGACTTGGATTCTAAGGACAATGTTTTTCATATGGACATTGATTTGCTTACAACTTTCAGCTCCCATGTGAGTTTCAAATTTTATTGATAATGAAACCCACAAACTGTTTCATTCGAGAAGACCTATTCTATTGCAAAAAAAAAGTGAAAACACTGAAACAAAAAGTAAAAAGGAGAATGACAATCTTGATGAGGTACCAAAAAAACATTTTGAAGGTAAAAACTACAAGTTCAAATTTTTAAACTCAAGAGCTACATCATAATATTGTCTTTTCAGACTTGCGTGGAGCTTCTCCCCCAGAAAGGAAAAAATGAAGGTGTACATTCTGGGCGATGCAGATATTCATCTTTCATGAAAAAATGTGTCCTCACATTGTACTTTTATTCACTTTTTATTTACTTTTCATTCACCTTCTAATTGTGAAAATTTTATGGGAAAATAGGTACTCTTGAAGATTAGGCTTAAAATAGACCTCAGGTACTCCATACCATTTGAAAACCTTTCTTCCAATTTCTTTCTATCGTTTTTCTACTTCTTCTGATAGTGCTGAGACACTGAGCTTCGCTCACCCTCTACAATATATTGTGCCATCAGAATGAGATTATCCATTTGCCTTCCCAATCCTGTAAGAATAAATATGGAATTTCACTTTTGAGGCAATAAAAAAATCAATAAATATTTTCAAATGATAATTGATTGCAGCATTCTTTTTCCTAACTGAACATTTATATTTAATCACGTACACTCTAAAATGAAAGAAAAAAACAAGAAAATATCTCAAATAATGCGAGCGCTTCCCATTAGCCAACATAAGATAGAAAGAGATAGGTATCCGTAACCACTGCGGGTTGCCTGAACAATCTTTTCGCCTCACTCGTCGTTCACAGAGGATCCCTTCCAGGTGTTTATATTGAGTTCATTGTAAGAAGATGAACCCATCGAATGTTGATAGGTTTGAGCTACGCAGCGCAGTTGGACGCCAAATTGAACCACTGCGAACGGTTCAAGAGCGAAATGGAGTTTCTGGATAAGGCCAAGTACGCCTCGATATGCTTCGCGAAGGCTCTGGAAATTTGTCCGGACCCGTTGATGTTGTGGATCGAATGCGGCACTTTCCAGTATACCGTGCACTCGTACTGTTCCAGAGTGCTCAAGTTCGAATCGGAGAATTTGAGCATGGAAAAGTGAGTTTTTCAACCTGTCAAACAATGCCCTAGTTGGAACACAATGACATCTCTTTCGGCTAATAATAGTAGATTGTTTTTTTTTACTCTCCGCCTCGCAAATGCAAAATTCAATAGTTATTTAACCAACTAGTGTATTAATGAGGACGATTAATGATCGAGATATTTTAACGTGCGAGCGAAGCGAGTGCGTTAATGTTCGAGATCATTAATCGCCTTTTAATATACAAGTTGGTTACAAAATTTTTCGGTCGACTATGTTTCTTATTCCTCCTGCAATGAAGAAAACTTGATTCACGAATTCATCATCCATCCAGAAACTGCTAAGAATCACCCAGTAGCCTTGTTACTGACATTAGTGTCATTTGACATTTGTCGAAATGATCAACATAGGAAATAAATTCCTTCTGTTAGAAAACAGGGATTAAAATCGTGTCAGAAACTTGGAAAGGCGAACCCGTTAACGGAAAATCGTCGATGAAATCCATATTTTCGATTTAAATGCAGATTCCGCTAGTTATAGCATAAACAATGGATGCACGCGGTGTATGTTTGGTTGCCTATAAAACAATCGTGCATTAACAGACAAATCGTCCATTAATAGGGGTCATTAATGAACGATTTCATATACATTAAACTTAGTCGTTAATACGAGGTCGACGGAAATAGTTATTTATTATATTAGGGGTAAAAGTAGTAGATTTTAGCTCCAGGTTGTGTTGTCTTCCGACGCGTAGCGGAGGGAGACAAAAAACCGTGAGCTAAAATCTAATATTTTTCCGGTGGATAATACACTATTTTTTTCTGTGACAGGACGAATCAATATTGAGAAGATATAACATTTTTTGATCAAAACAAAAATCATTAAGATTCCAAATCTGCCGATATCGGGAACAAATCAGGTATGCGTCCCAACCCAAATAACCAACCGTAACTATTCTTGATGATCTAGTACATCCTTTTTAATTGAACTCTAACTCCTAGGAACTAAAACTGTTGCCTAGCAACATTTCTATGTTTGTGTCAATAATAGAAACGTCAATTCAAGAGCTAATTTTAGGATTGAAATGGACGACTTCTGTGTCGGTTGCAGAAAAAATGTTTTTGTACGCGAATTTCTATTCGTATCAGAAGTAAAACCCTAATCATCACATGAAATCACAATAGGAAACAATGCAATTGCTATGGTCGCATTATTCTATCAGTTTTATATTTGATGCCAACCAGGCACCATATTGATGCAGACCTAAGTTGGGTCGCTTAATGGGGTGATCTGTATCTTTCTCCACAGCACTATTTTATCAAGCCATATTTTGGTTAAAAACATAGCCCTTAGCCTATATCACAATAGTTATGATTCACCCTGCATAATTTGTTGTGGTGGATCGCGATATTGAGAAAAAATTCATCACACTCGACTTTTCGTTCTTTATCAGGGCAGTCTCATAACTTAATTTTTATTTTAAGCAATTTTTCCTTCAATTCAGTACAACGTCTAATAATGAAACCTGTAGATAAAACGAATGCATCAAAGGATAATTTCAGGTTTGAATTTCTGGAAAACCAGAAGAATAGTTATTTAGACAGCTCGGGAAACAGTTTCGAAAAAGCGATTGCAATATACGAAATGGAAGAAGAAATGAACGATGCCGATGAAAGGTGGCTGCAGTATTATATTTTAGGAAAAATAGCCGAGAAAAAACAGAAGGAGCCCAACGAATATCTACAGTATTATATGACAGTAAGTTTGTATTAATCATTCCAGAATTACGTCATTTGACAGGTCAAACATTGTATTTTGATAAAGAAACCAGAATTAGTGGAATCGCTTTCCTTAGAACCCGAGTTGGAACCATAGAAATCATATTATACATGGTCCTGCATCTCACCTCCCGTCTTCTATAGCTCAGTTATCAGTTGAACCAGGATTTTGATATTTTGCAGACTTCAATTTTCTCATAGGGCGCATACCAGGATTATACAGGGTAGATAGATAGATAGATAAACTTTATTGTCTAAAATGTTTACATTTTGTCGACAAAGTTCAAGTACAAATACATTTGTGGTATATACAAATTAAACATTGAAAATGTATCATCACATTATACTTAAAGCACATTTGAGTGGTTCGAGTGGTTACCTACATGCTCCTGGAATTTAATTGAAATCGGTTTAGTGATATTCATAAACAAATAGGAGTATTACCCTCGGTATTACCTACCTAAATATGTATGAGGATTTATTATAATTGAGAGATAGTTTATGAACTTGTAACCAAGAGGATATGTTCTCTAAATCACTTTTCATGTCCATGATAATATTATTTGAATCTTTGGAGGAATCAATTTATGTCGTGTCATCTGCAATGTCGTGTCATCTGCAAAAAACTTGAGTTTTCCTCTCAATTCCAAGTTTGATATTGAATTTATGTAGATTAAAAATAAAACTGGTCCCAAGACTGACCCTTGCGGTACACCGCATGAGATGTTCATTAAGGAGCTGCAAGTATCACTCACATCAACATATTGATTTCAAATTCCTACTGATTACCAATTTTATAGGCTAGCACCCTGTTGGACGAAAACAAGGCAGAATACCCCGAAAAAATAAACTACAACAATCCGCAACATTTGGCGGTAGAAGCGTTAGAGCTTCACTACCGAATCCACGCTTCAGTCTTGAAATACCTAGAGTTGCACGAAGGCAAAGACATCCCGAATGCCATCGGGACATTTTTCAAAAAGTGTTTGGGTACTTCCAAGTTTTTGAAAAAACCTCCACCGCCTCCACCACCTCCAAAAACAGAAGAGCCAGCGAAAACAACTGAAAGTAACAGTGCCAGTTTTCAAGATCAGTTCCTCAATTCTCTGAACAAAAACAATGATGGCAAAAGATTGTCGTTGGATGAAGATGAGAAAAAAGAAGAGGGAAAATTCTCCACCAATAAGGATGATACAACAAACGAAAAGCAAGACAATGCCGAAGTATCTGATACGAAAAAAGAAACGCCAGAGGACAAAGAAAAAATAACTGAAAGTGACGAGAAGAAGAATCCAGTTCCTGAACCGATCAAAACTGAAACCATCATCGACTTGGATGATAATGATGTGATAATGATTTCAGATTCTGATGACGATGGCGAGAAAAAACAGAAAGAAAGCAGCGTTACGATTGGGGATAAAAACTGTGAAAAAAAAGGGGAGGAAGATGAGGAGAATGTGGTGACGATTTCGAAGAGCGATATTCTGTGCAAAGAAAGTGACGATGACGAAACGATTTTGATAAGTGATCCGGTGAAAGATGTCAATAAAACTGAGGCAACTATTGTGAAAAGTGATAAGGGAGATGAAATCGATGAAAATGTGGTGACGATTTCAGAAGCAGATGTTGGAAAAGTTGAGCCTATTGAAGATACAGGTGTTGGACCAACAGGTAAGCATATAAATGGCGAAGTTTTCTCTATTCAGAACTTCAATTGTCTGTAAAGTTTATGAAGAACCATTGCATATTCCAAAATGAGTATATTTCTGAATTTCTGGAATTCTTCTCAGTTAACAAACTTGAATAGGAATTCAAGAAACATCTACTCCTGTAATATTGACATCTTATCTCATTTTCATAGTTTTTATTTCTCGTACAATTTCTATAAGATTTCCATTAAGTACCCAACAGCTGAGACAATTGAGAATCATTTTCAGTTGAACTTAAAAAAGGCTTTCATCTTGATTAAAATTAATTGTCTCAAAATATTGTTTTATGTGTTCTGGCTTATTGCTTATAATATATTTGTGTGAATAATGATTAAATTAATTCACACTAGAGGACATTTGAACCGGTAAACGCTCGTGTAAACTTGACAACAACGCGCACGACTTGTAGGCGTGGTCTTGTCAATTCTCAGCATTCAGCACAATTACAAATCGTGTCAGCTGAACAGAATAATCCTCCCGCTAAGTTATTGTTATATAACCCGAATATTTTGAAGTACTCAAAGTATAACTACTGATAATACAAAATATGCTAAAATGAAGTTGTAAACAAACGGAGGATTTAAGGAAAAAAGTTATATAAAGTACTGGTGATATTTTGACCCCATCTATATACGTGTCTATACATTCCCGAGAGGAAAAGAGGAAGCCCATGGACACCCTGTATTTATTGTATCTTTCATGTAATAGAAAATTAAATATAATTCAATTTGTAAAAAAACTACGGCTTGTCGACAATATTATTTTATTTTTTAATTTTATCACAAACAGGACGAACCCAGAGACAGTATTCACATATAGGTATACTAAGTATGTCATGTTGTTAGGTATTCAATTCCATTATCATTATACAGTGCAAATATTTCATTCATTTTGTATGAAAAAGAAAATTTCTTAACATATCATCAATTGGATGCTGGAACAAAATGTTTCTTGAGTTTGTTCACAGATTGTTAAAGAGTGGAAATAAATATCAATCTCTATTATGTTTGAAATAACTTTTCAGGCATCATTGTAGAGGGGAGTTATTTAAGATAGTAATTTGTGTTCGGAGTGGATGTATGGAACAAGTTATAATAGCGAGTGGAATATTGTGGAACATTGTAATGGATCAAGTTATTTTTAGATGAGGAATGAATGATTCCACTTATAATTTCTGGAGAGAATTTGATACCGGCGATAGCTCTTCTGTCAGCAAGACTAATAAAATCAAATTTTCGAGTTACAAAGTGATTTTGTGGCGTGTTTTTGGAATATTTTTTGTTTATATAATAAATGAAGTTGTTCTGAATACTTTCTATTTGTTTCGTGTATATTATATAATAGGAATTCCAAATGGTTGAGCCAAAGCCTAGCAGACTATTCACGAATGACATGAAAAGAGTACGCAAGGTAGTGTAATCTTTGAAAGGAAAAGTTGTTCTTATTCAGAGATGTCATTTATGAATATTATTGAAAAGTATGGGACCTATAAGCGAAACTACTGAGCGATAAGCTGATCGCCAAATTTATCAGTCAAATAGTGTCACTGGCGGTATTGTCACCGAAAATTCTAAAATTACAGGTGACGCCAAAGATGTCCAGAAAATGTTCGATAAAATGATGGAGCAAACAATGAAAGAAACCGAAGATCAACGAATGGAAGTCGACTCTGACTTGAGCGGGACTGAAAAAATCGAAGAAGTAGTTGTTGCCAAAGAAGAAAAAGATGTCATTGAGTCACAAAAAGATGTCAGTGAGTCACAAAAAGATGTCATTGAGCTACAAAAAGATGTCATTGAGCCAGACAAAGAAGACACTAAGAAGGAAAATGAAAAGGTCAAAACGGTCAAGAAAGATGAGATTGCCAAGTCGAAAAAAACAAAGTCCACTGATATGGAAACGGATGCCGATAATGTGAGAGTGAGTAACACAATATTTCGATATAGAGGATTTTCATTAAATAAAACCGTTATACAGGGGGAAATTTTGAAAACTTCCCACTCTCAATATCTTCCTTGCAGTGAATAATATGAGAAATCGAAAAAACAGGTCGATTTTATTTCCAAAGGGGACACTTGAAATGATTAGTTTCAGCCCTCTTGGTTCAACCCCCTAGGAGGGGTAGATGTTACCCTTAGAATCTCAAATGGAAAGGGGAGGGGGGGTCAAGTGGTACATCATTTTGAAGGGCGTTCAATTCTCTTCCCAACGATACCCTAGTTGATCCTTTTCTGTCGAGCACTTTCCGAAAAATGTCGTATCACTTAGAAAACTTCCCACCCGATAATATCTTCCTTTCAATAAATGATATGGAAAATCGAAAAGACACGTCAATTTCATTTCTGAGGAAGACACTTGAAATGCATATTTTCAGCCATCTTAGTTCAACCCTCTGGGAGGGGTACATGTTACCCTTAGAACCTAATATGAAAAAGGATGTCAAGATACACATCATTTTGAAGGGCGTTCAAGCGTTACCATCGAGACTAGAAGGCCTGCATGCTCCGTGGTGACGTCACCTTAGTGAGGCCTAACCAGCGGCTCGAAACGACTTATGGCGCTATAAGGCGACCGCGTATTTCAATTATTGAGCCGATTTTACTGTTTTTTTTTGAAGATCTTCCGGTTAAAAAAGGATGCTAGTCGTCAACTGAGCCCTTCTTAGCATCCCATTCGATTTTATAATGGAAAATCGAAGTTTCAAAGTAAAAACCAGAATAAAACACAAATACCCACCTACAGCAACCCATTCGAATTTAATATATTGGCAAAAATTGTAGTGATTTGATCTCATTGGAGGTAAACTTCACACGCACTTATACAGGGCCCGCAGAACATAAACTTGTCGTGAGATTGATCGAATGAAAATTGTGGAAAATGTATTTTAGTTTGATAGACATGCAGTTTGTTATACCTAATTACCTATATTTATCTTGGAGAATTCCTATTACCTAAAAAATTAGCCAGTGAGTGTTTTCAATTTCCTGTTGTTGGATTTTCACCCAATTGATCGTTAGACTCGAAACAGTAATTTTTAAGTAGAGTGTTTGTAGTACATGTTAATATGATAGTTGCAATTTGATCATTGGAATGAATTCTGCATTCATTGTCACGAGGCAAATGACCATTTTCAGAAAGAAATTTGAGAATGTATCGAGTTAAAAATGCCCGTTTATTATGAACATTCAAGAATATTTCCTCAAATTCAGAGATGAATTTGTTGACTATAATATTCGAATACAAAACTAACTGCACAATCAAAGCATTTCTCTTTTTCCTCTACTCATACTTTTTATGAGAGAGTAATTGTCTTCTATTATAAATTCATCATCATAAATTAAGCTCTGTTTACTACTGTACTTAGATGGAGTAAAATCCTCGCGGTGAATTGCATATATCCACTTTTTCGATAGTTCCTTGTCCAACGGGAAACTAAAAGCATGAACTTTTGGAACACCCACATAATTCCCCCGACAAAAGGGAACACAACACTTGAAAGGCATTATTATTTCGCCTAACACAACACAAAATATTTCACAAAACATTAATTTTTCCGCCAATTATTTTGATGAATAAACAACAAAAGAATTCAGGACGCGACAGTTTTCCAAACATACCTATTCGAACTAACAACGAGCAGTGTTGCCAGATGAAAATCTGCCGGAGCAGTAGATGGGTGAGGAAATAGCAGTAGATCATCAAAACTGAACAGTAGATTCCAATAATCATCACAATTTGCTATTATAAATGAAAAAACATAGAAACCTTTATGATAAACGAAAAAAAAATATGTTTGTTCTCTAAACCTATTAAAATCGAACAAAAAATAAAAATAATAAAATCTAATAAAAGAAAATTGTAAAAACCACAACTAAATTGAAAATGAAAGCTGATTTTCATTAATCAGACTGAATATAATAATTCCAGTATATTTTTATCATACATCTTCTTACTGTGATGCCGCATTAATGATCCATTGTTACATATTAGGTAGATATGTCATATCAAAACATGACCATTCAGACTATCGCCTTGAACAGTAAAACGGAGACGAAAACAGTAGATCTACCGTTAAAATAGTAGGTCTGGCAACGCTGACTACGAATCGACACGCCATAGAATATGTGTGTGGCCTCTCTTAGTTGACGTCACGAGCTGGCCTTGTATTCACGTGGGTAACGGTTCAAGTCTCTTTTCAACTATACCCTAGTTTTTCATTTCTTCAAACTCACAGAAGTAATTAGAAGATTCCTGCACTGATATCTCGACTGATATGCATGGTTTTCAGGTTGATATTATTGTATTGACCCTTTCAGTCCAAATGGTGGGAAGATTTTGAATGAATTTCAGTGCAGGCATGTTCCAATTACTTCTGTAAGTTTAGAACGGCATTTATGCGCATTCGCTCGTAGAATAGTTATTTGTTTAACTAGGCAGCAAAGTAGTAGATTGACTGCCGAGGCTGAATTCATAGCCGAGCGTAGCGAGGCTAGGAATCCAGCTAAGGCAGTCAATCTACTTTGCTGCCGAGTTGAACATATAATTTTTTCTCCGATTGTTCATAATGATATGGGAGAATATTGTATTTGCGAATTAATACAATTCTCACAATCTCTTTATTCTTCCTGTATAGTGTTTACTTAAAATAAATTTTGATAGAAATCGCAGTTGTTGGTTTGACAATTCATGAAACTGACAGCGAAAAACTATCGGTATATTCAAATTATTATATAATGGACAGTGATAGCGACAGTGGAAGTATACTTACACCTCCATTAATGAGGGAGGTGGCAAAAAATATAGAGTTGAATTTGTTACCGGAGAAGTCTCGGATGAAATATGAAGGAAATTATAAACGATTTATGGATTTTTAATTTTGCTGATACATATCAATCAGCAAAGTACCCACTTTGCTGCCTAGGCAGGAAAAGTAATACTTTGCTGATTGATATGTGTCAGCAAAATTAATATTTGCTGCCAATCGGAGGAAAAAACTATTAACGAGACCCTCGGGGTCTCGAGAGGAAGGAAAAACATTCTTGAAAGCCTAAATCACTATATAAATGATCACGGTGGGCTGACGCCATGATATTAGTGGACCAGGATAAAACTCCCTGACCAAACTCAGCTCCACAATTTTATTGCGAAAAATAATCATCAAAAAACGTTGATAGTTCGAAAGATTTAAGCACCTCTATGTAAAGAAGAGATTCAAATTGATAAAATATGTTTCTTCAGTTCACTCTTGAATTTTGTGACGAGATTGATATTAGTAATGATGAGTATGGACTTGCAGACACTTTCAAGGCCAATAACTCAGTAACGACACTTTTTTATATGAAGAACCAACATTATTTTGGCTCTATTAGCCCCATTATTTACGATTTATACGGACACCCTGTATAAAATATCAAGAATACTGTAAAAAAATCGTGGCATTTTCTCAGACGTCTGTTGAAGAAGATTCCAGTAGCAGTTCTAGTTCTTCGTCCAGTTCCAGCGACAGTTCAGATTCTAGCGACGATGACGATAGCAGCTCGAATTCTTCTTCCTCCTCGTCTGATGCCTCCAACGAATTTATGTCGCATACAGAAATATCACAAATGATCGATAAATGCGTGGCAGGTAAGGAACATCATTTACGTCACATCTTATTACACAGTTTGTCGCGGAGCTCTGGAACACATTACCAAGGGAGGTGTTCTCCGAGGCATATAACCTCCAAAAATTCAAGAAGAACACCAATTCCTACCTTATTTCCCTTGGTTCTCACGATGTTCTCTGAACATTACAGGATATCCCTTTTCGTGGGAACCAGAACATTAAAAAAATCATGATTATATGGAAAAAACGAAACAGATTGCGAAGTCACAAGTCACTATGGAGTATTTCCACCACGAGCACGAATAACTTCTTGGCAAAGACTGTCATTACCGAAAATAGACCTTATGTCATGTTGGTCCATGTCTTCCCAAATTTTAATCATCAGTCTCTGCCGTGGTAGCGATACAGACTTCGTCTAGATAATTTCTCACAACTCGGTCGACGTGAGGACTGGCATTATCTTGCATCAACAAAAATCCTAACACTATATGTGTTTCTTGTATCACCAATATGTACCTTTCAGCCGTAAGGCTCAAGACTATAAGGCGGCCAGTAAAAGAAATGCCTTCCTTGACCATAGCCTGCTACTTTCGTGCTTATAATGCCAATTGAATTCGATAAAATCATGTTATGTTCAAACTTCAAGTTCAAACTTCAAGTTCAAACTTCAAGTTCAAACTTCAAGTTCAAACTTCAAGTTCAAACTTCAAGTTCAAACTTCAAGTTCAAACTTCAAGTTCAAACTTCAAGTTCAAACTTCAAGTTCAAACTTCATGTTCAAGTTTCAAGTTCAAACCTCAAGTTCAAACTTCAAAGTTCACTTCAACTTAAAATTTGAACTCCCCTACTGAATATAATTTTCTGGCTTAATTGCTCTCATAAGGATGGTTCATCTTGTTAGTGTAAATAATCGAAGGATTTTTAAAAGGATATTTCGGAGAACAAGGACATTCTGCAAAACTGATGTTAACGTAACCGCACACTTTTTCCTAGGTCTGGAGATATGCATAACCAGGTTGGCGCAAAATTACAAAGCCCTTTACCGACTGGCCCATCTGTATTTCAATTACAAATCGAAGAAAGACATGGTGAAATGCAAACAGCTCCTCATGAGCGAGTACAAGTGCAAGGATGGTACCGTAGTCGGTGGTCTGTTCAATGATAGAAAACCAACAAACTTTTTCAATGTAAGTTCTTCCAGTTTCTTCGCAAAAAAAATTAACATACGTTGATGCAAACCTTATAGGAGCTGACTGAAGCCGTCATTCAGAACCTAGCCACACTCATCTCTGTACGGCTCTGTACGGTTTTCGAGATATTCGTCATATTGTTTTGTCTTTGAATTTCGCATTGTATTACTTTTATTATCAGATCGACGACCCTCTATTCCAATAAACAAGTAGAGAGAGAGTAGAAAAAATACTATTTTCATTCGCAGCGGCACTGTCCCAAGTACTATAACCGCCAACCGTATATATACAGGGTGCCCGTTTTTCGATAAATAAGGGCAAAGTTGCACATTTTCATGCTGAACATTTATCTGCATGAAAATTCCATGTGTCATTTTCATTCTTTGAATTATATGAAGAAAACGAAAATTTGTAATTTTTTCAGGCGAAAACCAAAAGACCTAGACACAACAGTCTTCCCATCTTGAATGAGAGCAAAAATCTTGGACTTCGGTTGGATTCAGACATGATATTTACGAAACATATCAGCTATTTATGTCAATCATCATATAATGTATTGAGGCAATTATATCCAAACCGAGATATCCTCTCTAAAAATCTAAAGCTTAAACTCTGCGAATCTTTAATCTTCTCAAAATTATCATATTGCGATAGTATATATGGCCCTGCCTTATTACAAAGTGATTCATTTCGCTTACAACGTATTCAAAATTCTTGCCTAAGGTTTTCATACGGAGTACGAAAATATGATCACATATCTGCTAAGATGAATGACTCTGGATGGTTACGGTTAGAACAATCAAGCTATTTGCATTTGTTAACACAGGTGCATAAAGTTCTGAAAACCGGTAAACCTAGTTATTTCCACAGAAGACTACAAACTTTTTCAGATATCAACCGAATTTCCAGTCGCAATAAAACCACTCTGGTTATCCCAAAACATAATTCATCTTTCTTCAAACGCAGTTTCTCTTATACAGCTAGCAAATATTATAATTCACTTCCCATCGAATATAGATCTTTCACTCTCAGTAACTTTAAGAAGAGATTAAAGCTTGAACTTTCAGCCAGGTAGGTCTTATTACAATCAAAAATCTAGCAATGCTTCTCTGACAATCCTTTGATATTCAATTCTCAATATTATGCAATTTTTTATTTGAATTTTTCAATCATTTCTTCTTATTGTATACTTATAATACAGGGTGTAACTGAATAAGTGTAAAACATTTAAGGAGGTGATTCCTCATCGAAAAAAAGATAGGATCTTTCATATGAAGAAACTTCATTGGAGCATCCCTTGTTAAGATACAGCCCCTTAAAGGGGGTACATAAAATTTGTATAACAATTTTTTTCACAAGCACTGAAAAAGTTACAATATTGAAATCAACCTGACAGCGTCATACCAATTTAATTGTCACTATCGCTAATAGCGACCTACTAGATAGATTAGTTTCGTATTTTCGCATTTATGACGATGTATCTCTGTAGTTGTTCGTAAAATAATGTTTTGCTGCTTACTGGTTTATTTTGGGCAAAAAACCCAAGAGACATTTTTTGTTTAGAATGAAACAGGCTATCGGAAATGAATTTTTAAATGGTAAAGAAATAATAAGACAAAAAGTTACATTGGAAATAAATTTTAGGGGTTGCGTTTTTCACCCCTTACAACCATGGGGTAAACCAAATAAATTACTGGCTAAGTGTCTTTTTGGTAGTACAAAACGTCAGGTCAATTTCAATATTGTAACTTTTTCAGTGTTTGTGAAAAAAATTGTTATACAAATTTTATGTACCCCCTTTAAGGGGCTGTATCTTAACAAGGGATGCTCCAATGAAGTTTCTTTATATGAAAGATCCTATCTTTTTTTCGATGAGGAATCATCTCCTTAAATGTTTTACACTTATTCAGTTACACCCTGTATATCGGTGTTTCTTCGAGAAATAACGCATCTACATTGTTTCTACACCTTTCATGATTTATATTTCCGTAAATTAACTTGTTCTTTTCATTTTATTTTTGGGGTTGAGTTGAAAAACAGCTTTCTGCTGATACTCCGCCTATTCACCATTGCAGATAGGTATTTCTGACTAGGACAGTGCTAAGGCACTTTTTCACAAGGAATTTGGATCTGTCATCGTATTTTCCATGACGTTCTTGATGCCAATGTTACAACACTCAACTTTGGTTTTTCTTATGGGCGCCATATCGCATTTTTTTCCTGTTGATAAATATTGGCGAAAAACCATTTATGCAAAGAGTGCTATGGAAAAAACGCGAACTGTTCAGTTTAACAAACTGAATTTTGACAGTTCAATTGAATAAGCGAACAGAACTGTTGAATTCTTGAGCTTATCCACATAACGCAAGAAGAGTTGCCGAGTGTCTGTCAGATAATATGTGACAAAATAATTTCAAAATAATTTCCAACAACGGAGACATATTTGGCCAGCGCGGTCACCTGATCTCTCTCCGCTGGATTATTATTTATTGGGAACTATGGAATATTTGATTTTCAAAACGGTACCGATTGATATTAATGAGCCAAGAAGAACCATAATCACCACTTTCAGGAATAAGATAAGAAGACGGACATCTCGCGAGCAATACAGAATCTGAGGAAACGCGTAGAATTGTGTTTAAACTTTGTTTTGTTTGTTATGTTACCTCGATTTGTAGTCTATCAAATGTTTTTTCCATCTAATACTGTTTCCATAAAATGTATTTTCTATCAGATGATGATTCGATCAATTGTATTTTCTATTAAATGCTGTTTCGATCAATTTTATTTTCTATCGATTATGTTTCTATCAAATGTATTTTCTATCATGAAACATTCGATCAAATGCATTTCTATCAAAAAAACTTTCGATCAAAAGATTTCTATCAAATATTTTTCTATCATTTGTGTTTCGATCACATTTCTGCCACCCATCAAAATCACGTGTTCTGGAATGCTCTATACTCTATAGTCTGAATTTAACAACCTTGAAAACAGAAAATCTGGGTATCATAATAGAAACTGTTTTCATACTCATCTGGACATCATATTGAACTTTTGTACTGGGATAAGTGTGGCTGAATAGAAAACGATGTCTGTTGTCAGCTCCTAAAAGGTTTGTATCAACCTGCTCGACACTCTGTCATGAATATACAGGATTTCCAAAAATTGCTGGGACACAGAGCTACCACGTGTATAAGAGGTCAAAATAAGTTGATTGGACCCAATTTATTTATGTGCCAAAATGTACCGTTTGTTCGTGAGAAACCCATTTTTGTACGCTGTTCAGGAAAAAGTGAAACGAATTTGATGAAATTTGGCAATAGTGTATTTCAGAGGATTACTTTCCTTTTGGTATTTAAAGAAACCTGAAAGAAATTGTAGAAGGGTTAGAACCACCCTCACCCCCTGACATTTTTTTCAGAACTTTTTCAGAGGTCATAATACGTTTCTGAAACTTTTTGAGCTTGAAGACTAATCAATTACCTCCATTTTATTTCTCATGTAAAAAATTCCTATACCGCATAGTTTCGAAGAAAAAAAAAGTTCTCTCAAAAAATGTTACCAGATACTCCTATAGCACAAGAGTACAAGTTTAATGAAAAACTTAGTTGGCAGTGGAAACAGAAGCAGAACGTTTCTTCATAATAAATGTTCAATATGACTTCCACCTTCATTGAAACAAATATCAATTCGACGTAAAAAATTGAAATGCACCCTCCTTATTAGGAAATCGTCGTTGTCTCGTAGTGCGTCAACGGCATTTTGGATTCTGTTCCACAGTTGTTCGAAAGTATCAATTTGAACTGCATACACTTGTGTTTTTAACGCTCACCAGATGAAGAAGTCGCACGGATTCAAATCTGGAGACCGCGGAGGCCATTGAATAGGTGCTTATTGTCCCCTACCAATCCATCTATCAGAAAATCATTTGTTCATATATTGTCTTGTTGTCTGAAGAATTTATTGAAACATTTACAGATAACGTCAATAACAAACTTGAATGACAATAAATTTGTTTACATCTTTTTTCTTTGAAACTATGCGGTATAGGAAATTTTTACAAGAGCAATAAAATTAAGGTAATTGATTAGTCTTCAAGCTCAAAAAATTCCAGAACCGTAATATGACCCCTGAAAAAGTTCTGAGAATAATTGGTTTTAACCCTCCTACAATTTCTTTTAGATTTCTTGTAACTAAAAGGAGATCTGAAGTTATTTGCAGATGATACTACAATAATCTATTCCTCTAAAGAATTTAACGATATAGTTGATGATATAAAAAGTGACTTGAAAATGATATCATCTTGGCTACAAATTCATAAGCTGACCCTTAACTATGACAAATCTACGTATATGTATATTTCAAAAAGAAAAACTGATATGTCGAAAACAACAATATTTTTCAACCAGAAAGCCATAAAATATTTAGATATTACAAAATTCTTAGGTCTTTATATTGATGAACAATTATCGTGGACTAAACATATAGATCACCTGAGAAAAAAGCTCAATCCAATTACTGGCATTTTATACAAAATTCGAAATTTCATTCCTCTTAGATATTTGAAGAATATATATTTCTGTCTGATTTACTCAAAATTACAATATTTAATATCAATTTGGGGAAGCACAAGTATATCACATTTGAAACCATTAATGAAATTACAAAATAAAACAATTAAGTGCATTTACAATTTACATTACCTGGAACCAACTATTAATCTTTACAAACCAAAAATCTGTTGAATTTATCATCTTTATATAAAATGAAAATTTGTTCTTTCATCCATTTTGTGAGAAAAAAAATAAAAATATCCAACTTGAACTTTACTGAAGTAAATACAATTCATACTCATGCAACGAGACAGTTGAATTCATTAATAGCAAACCCATATAACTCCATCATTGGCAAACAATCAGTATTCTACAACGGAATCATTTTATATAATTCATTACCTTATGATTTGAAACATATTGATGATGAAACAAGATTCAAAGTCAATATGAAAAAATATATACTCATGACACAATAAACGGAGCAATTTATTCTCATTTGAATACTTGGAATGGTTTTATTTTAATTATTATGTTATATTGACATAACTTGTTAATTAGTTTTTTTTTTTATTGTTTTATATATATATATATATATATATATATATATATCATATGTTTATGTATCCCTATTATAAACAAATATGTTTCTTGGGGTAATAAAGAACAACAACAACAACAACAAAAGTAATCCTCTGAAATATTGCCTATTGCCAAATTTCATCAAATTCGTTCCAGTTGTTTCTGAACAGTGAACAAAAATGTTTTTTTTTTATGTAAACTTTGAACCTTTCTCACGAACAAACGGTACATTTTGGCACATGAATGAATTGGGTCCAATCAACTTATTTTGACCTCTTCTATACGTGGTAGCTCTGGGTCCCAGCAATTTTGGGACACCCTGTATAACGCTCAATTTCAGGGTATTTGGAGGATTCCCTCTACTGAAATCGACAGGCCCGGTTCTCTCTCAGCTCATATGAGCAGATGCATTACGCTTCTTTTGCAAATTCTCAGAACCACCAATGACAATAAAACGCTAACCGATCTTAGTTTGCAACTGAGGAAAACTCCCGAACCCGATAAGTAAGAACACAGCGTGCCAAACAAAATCGAATCTTGACGGCTTTCTTCTTTTTTTCAGGATATACATTAAAGATTCTGAACGCATGGCCTTCTCCGAACAAGCCTTGACTATGTGCTCCCAAAGTTTGAGAGGCCAAATCAAAAATGTGCCCAACATGACGCACCAGCAAATTATCAAGTTGCTCCATGATATATTCAAGATGTATCAAAGGTTGCAGAAACAATCACCTGCTAAGGAAAATCAGTTCGCTAGTATGCTCGTCGAAGTCTATAAGAAGTTCATCAAAGAGAAGGTCTGCTGTAGATGTTTTTTGTTGTTGAGGTATAATTAACTTTTTTTTATTATTCGTTAGATTCCGGAGAGTGTTAATGTTTTGGACCTTGCCACCAAATTTTGTTTACAAAATAAACAGGTCGATAAGCAAAAGATGCAACCACAGAAGATGGTCGTTTTGAATCCTAGAGGAACAGGACTTCTGAATAATGTGAGTACTTGCACACTTCAGATTCTACAATTTATCTAAGTAGCGCAGTCGGTAGGATTTCCATAATTACTAATGAATGGCACTTTTCGTTTTGGCTCAGGCATGTTTCGGGTCCCTTGATGTAAATTGACATATTTTTCATCTTAACAGGGTACGGACAGATCCTCGTCTCCTCTCACTCTAAAGTGTTTGTAAAACAGTTAGATAGTTCCATCTTCATTCATTACTGGTGATAAACACTAGATTTCTGACATTTGTTGTTTTTTAGGTAATATCGAGGACATTGGCGTATCATACGTAATTTCCACATGTAATTTCTCATTCAACTCTACATATTATATCCAAGTGATGATGCTAATTTTCGAGTTTTTGATTTTTCAACTCCATCATAATCTTTGTGAGGCAGTGAACAAATTTTTATGAAAGTTTTATACGTTTTACCAAATGGGACTGTTCTTAGGCAGTACCTATCAATAAATGAATTTCGATTTCAGATTAAGGCCTTATGGTTGGGAAATGGTGAAAAATTTTATGTAGGTATTCGTGCTCCTATGTCATGTGTGCTGTATATATTCATGTTGGGAATCATTTTTGCAGTTTTTCACGAACACTTAATATTTCCTGGATGTTGGTATACTTTTTTAAATGGTAGGGCATATGCCTCTTCTTTTAATCCTCTGTTTTAATCAAAACTGTTTCTACTAAAATGCGTTGAAAAACTTGTGGAGTGGATAATTATAGGCACAATGAGAAAGTATAATATGTGATTTCGTATTAGTTTTACCTCAAATTTTTTGCTTGTATTTACCAATTTTCCCCATTAGGTCACTTCACTTTCCATGGTCTGAGTTCATTTGCATTTGATGGTGAGCTGAAAAATTCAAATTTGCCATCCAACTGATTGATACAGCGTAACGCAGCACATTTTACCATCCTTCCAAAACAGAATTGAATAATGTCGTATCAAGATCAAGAATGAAATTGCCAATACACGAAACCAAAGTTACTAGATGATTAAAAGAGAAAGGAGCTATGATCTGTCCGTACCCCGTTAGATGACAAATACGTCAGTTTGCATCAAGGGACCCTAGGCATTTTCTTTTTCACACCACATGTTTCATCATTTATGGAAGTGAAGTCACTCTCTGATGCATCGAATTGTTCGAGTCAACAGTATTGAAAAAAAACGCAGTTATTGGATATCAATCACAACTGTTTTTTCCTTTATCTATTATTCCTATCGTGATTTGATGGGTATTCAGATAGTTTTCATTTAGAAGCTCAGAATTGGTGAAAACTAATATAAAATGGAAAATGATGTATTAAAAGTGTTATTGGAGTCCTTGTCTCCAGATCCAGAAGTTCTAGCAGTCCTTCTGATAATTCCGAGGATGAAATATTGTTTATGTTGGGGAGTAGACGAGATAGGTTGAAAATTCTCAACAACCTATATACAAAACATTGCATCAAATGATGATTCGTTAATAAGAATTCTCTGTTGGTCCTCAAGTTTTTTTTTTATCGCATGGAGCGCACGAAAGGGAATCCCTATAATGTTCAAAGAACATCGTGCGTTCCTAGGGAGGATAGGGACAGGAGGAAGGTATTGGAATTTTTTTTGAACTTTTGGAGATTATATGTTGTTGGGAATACTTCCACAGGCAATGAATTCCAGAGCCTAGCCGTTCTATGGATGAAGGAGTCTTGATAAAGTGCTGTTCGACATCTTTCGAGGTTGACAACGAAAGGATGTGCTGACTGGGCTTGTCTAGTTCGTCTGATTGGTATTGCTAGTGAAGGGATGATAGCAGAGATTTCCGAAGAACATTTCCCGTGGAAGTATCGATAGAAAAGTGAAAGGTCGCCGACCTTTCTACGGTGTTCCAATGATGTCAAAGAGTGAGTGAGTGTGGCGTCACCCACCAGGCGAATGTTTCCACTAATTTCTTGAAATTCAGGATGGGAAAGAAAAAAGTACCTACCACTCAAAATTTCTTCAATTTCTGTTGGTGTCAATAATGCAGCTATTCTTTTATTTTCATATTTCAGACTGATTTCGATTAATTCATCCATATATTTTCTAATTCAAATGGCAAACAGAATTCAAATCCAATATTTTATCATTCGTTTTTTGAGGTTAGGCTGTCGCTGTCATTTCAAAAGCCACCAATATTCGTCCACCATCTCTGTACATCGGTGAAATGGTTTGCAATTTTGGTGGATACAACAGTAATAAATGAACGCGTGGTTACGTCAAACTGGAGTACACCAAAGAATATATGAACGCAGTTGGTGGATTGATGGAGCCACTGGTGAATATAAGAACGTCCCTCTTATGATTTTCAAATATTCTCAATGTGCCTGAATCCTTCAATATTTGGTTTTTGTGCTTAATTCTCCGCTGTTTTAAAGTCGTTGTTCGACTTTCAGTTTTGATTAGTAAATTGTAGTGTGCAGTTCAGGTTTGAGACAGAAAACTGCATTAAAACAGTAATTCTACCGACTACCTCACTTTTTATTTCACATCCAACTTCATATCTGAGCATTTTCCTGTTCTTTGATAATCATAATAGGTGATCCAAAATTCAGATTCCATTAAAACTTTTGTTAGGTTCATTTAACAATGTACATGGTTCCGTTTGACAGTGGTGCCAATTCTGATATTCAATATTTAGAATCTGCTTTGTATTTGGTGTTTAGACTTATTTCTAAATATTTTTATCAACATCGAAAGAGAGCAATCAGGTATCTCTGCAAAGTGGAATGTAGGGAATTATTCAAACCATTGTTCAAACATGTGATTCTAACAATTGTCTTTCTAAATGGAAACCTAGTTAGTAGGCGGGAAGTATAATATTGTCTGCTTAGTGAGAAAATAAACTACGCAACACTAATTTCGTCGCACCCCAACGACGGGTCTCTGCGATTTTTCTTACAAGAGTCCCGTGACGAGTTAGATAGGGGGGTAACACTTATGATCCGCACTGTAGATTGATGAACGATAGAAATGACTGAAAGTATATTTCTCCCTCTTTCACATTATAAATCTTTGTTCAAACATTCACATAATCCAAGCAACAACTCGCACTTTCAGCCGCCCGTCTTGCCCGCCCCTATGCCCTACCCCCACCCTTCAACCTCAGTGGGGCAGGCGCAGCGCCGCCCACGCGGCCGCCCACCGCTGCCCAAGGCGCACGGAGGGCAGCCGAGAAGCAGGTCGCCCGCAGTCAGCCTGCCCAAAGGCACCAGCCTGCCCAACAAGATGACGAATATGCCCAACAAAGCGGCTACGTTGCCCAATACTATGACTGGCCTGCCCAACAAAATGCAGTCGTCTCCTTCTTCGTCGACGTTTTCGCCGTGGCAGAACCCTCTTCTAGACTATTTGAAGCACTACCAGGACGAGCTGATCAAGCAGTACAGCCAGAATTTGAGCATGACGCAGCTGGGGCAGTTGAGTCAGATGTTAACGCAGGTAAGAGAGGATTTGAAATGAGGGAACTTTTTAAATACACTCCTCCAAGTGATTAACGCACCACCAAAAAATAGCCGAACTAACGAAATCAGCTGATGGTTGGGTACAAATTTCGTTCCACCCTGACCGAAGTTCACCAATCTATGAATATTAGTGCTAAGGCTAAGTTTTTTCGATTTTTTTTTCACTAGCAATAACTGATTTGACAATGAATTCGGCAGACAAGAGAGAGGCAACAACAATATGGCGTACTGCTGCATACTTTGCATGACTTTTTTGTCAAGTTGAGGACATCTCCGCAGAGCACCAATGATTGGAGATATTTTTCATATCAGAACCTCTATATGCTTGTCCCATTTCAATTTTTCATCAATCCACATACCAAGATACTTTATTTGTGTAGTTCTTTTCAATACTGTATTTTTAATTTGGAGATTGAGACTAATATCCTGTTTATTTCTTTGAGGGAAACGAAAAAATAATAAAAATTAGTGACTTCAAAGTTCATTTTATCAACAACAAAATCCTTTTTTGCAACTCTGAATCCACTAAAGGGCCAAATCAACAATCCTTTGACGGCTTCGGCGATAGCCAATCAGTTCCTGGCCCAGTCCGGTCTGCTGAATCCCACTGCTCTGGTGAAGCAGATGGGAGCTGTGGGAGCGATGGGTCAGAGCAACAGTGCGCAGTTCATGGAGAGCTTGAACCAGCTGTCGCCCAGCTTGAGAAAGAAATTGGGCGTGGATCAGCTGATGCCGAATTTGGGTGCAGGTGAGATTTCGTTGAATGGGCTTATAACACAAAAAGTTTTTATACCATAATTCGATAGAACTCACCCAAACTAGCTCACCACCGCAAACCGTTTCTTGCTGTGAGCTCCCTACGTTTTATACTACAAGACTATTCCAGACAGAGGTGAATGATACATGATTTCAGGCAGAGTGAATTAGCGCGAGATCACAGTTGAAAGAATTAATATATCAGTTGCCTCAGTCTCCGTCGGGCGTTTGGTATTTTCTTTTAACTATGGCAAGATGAGGTTTCTACGTCATAAGAGGGTCCGTTTTCAGAAGGTACTATTATTTATGTCCAAAAATGAAATATTCCAGTTAATTTTTCGATCGAATTATGTCGTCAATCATTATTTATGTATAAAAGGATCATTATAAACATAGTTTGAGTTTAAAGTTCTACTAAGGTGTACACGCCCATTCGAATCGGTTTGTTTCCATTTTATGAAATTTTTCTTCATGTGTTTCCCATTTCTTCTCTCCTAATGTGAAGTCAATGTGTATAGCCATTCTTTTTTTCTTATCTCATTCTATTTTCTGTGATAACTCAACTCCTTCACAGAAAACGCAATTTCACGATGACATGAGTCATTTTGACATCGATTAAAAAGGGTGCACCTTTTTTATCAATAATAAAAAAAAGAGCTTTTTTTATCGGATAAATTTCTCTTGGTAACGAAAAACATTTGCCGATCAGTGATTTTACGAGAAAAACTGACATGAAAAAATTGCGAGACCGTAAGTCGAGCAATTTTGTCTAATGTCAGTTTTTCGAGAGAAATAACTGATGAAAATGTCTGAGATGATAAGGAAATTTATCCAATTAAAAAAAAAGTTCGAGTGTTTTTTGGCAAGATAAATCAACGACATTCGGGTCGATTCTGTTCGGATCTTGTTATAACATTGCTAAGATAACAATATTGTAATGATCATAATATATAACAATATTGCTATGAAGTTCTGTATTCTGTTTGCAGAGTAACTGCAATATTGGTTATAAGTTCAAGTGATAGCAATATTGTTGAAACATTGAGAATTTTTGAGCTGACAACACTGTTTTCAACTCATTTCTTAAGTGTTAGGTATCGATTTTGCCATTTTTCATGAAGAAGAAGAGTTCATGATCATCTAACCTCTCAAATTAGTCATTCCTGCACTGGTTCAAATTGAGAGATTCTGTATTCTATGAATCTTTCCTCTACAAATTGGAACTTCAAGAAAAGGTTTTCAAGTAATTGCTCACAGTAGTGAACCTATCCAATATGTTTGTAACCACCATCCTAAGGTTTTTAATATTTCTTCTGCAAATTGAAACTTTGAGGAAAGGTCTTCTAGTAGTCAGTGACACAAGTGAACTTACATATGTTTTTAATCCACTATTTTCTGAATTTGCATACACTTGGAAGAATTTCTAGTGCAAACACAAAGAATCCACTACCGTGTTATAAGATAGTACGCACAAAATTGATGTTGCCGAGATAGCAAGAAAGCTGACCAGATGTCATTGAAATTGACAGATCATATTGCCAAAAATCGATGATTAGAATTCCACTTTTTCGAATCTTACTATGATAGCAATATCTTTTCTACAACCATATTACTATTTGCAAACAGAATCGACCCGAATATACAAATAAACAGCAATAATGATTACCTTTATTGATGATTCCGTGTAACGGGTAGTTTGCGGAATTGATTTTCTCATATTTTCGTGGTTTCTTCGGACGAAGTTTTCCTAAAACGACTCATCTTGCTAATTCATGCGTGAACCATACCCATCAATCAAACTTGACACTACAGAAACTGGGGTGACATCAGGCGCAAATAGCTACTAGATCAAAGGAGCAGGCAGTTTATCAGCGATAAAAAAGGTGCATCCTGATTTTGAATTGGTTATATTTGGAGACTATAACATTCCTGATGCAACTTGGTTAAGAGGTGACAGTGGACTTGAACTAAGTTGCCCAGATTCATCCCCTGGAAAATATCTTTCTGACTCTTATAGTGCCTTAGGTTTAACACAGGTTAATAGTATCCCTAACAATAATTATGTATTCCTTGATCTCATTTTTTCACATATACCCACTCTTGCAATAGCCAAAGCAGATGATGTTCTAACTAATCTGAGTTACCACCATAATGCATACTGCTTCATGCTGACACTTGTTATCGAGGACACTTACCTAAAATATGATAATTTCTATCATGATTTTAAGACTTGTAATGCAATTGGTATAAACGATTATTTAGCAATGGCAGATTGGAGTGCCCTATATAATACTAGGGACATTAATACAGCAGTTCACATATTTTATGACATAATTTACAATGCAATCGACTTATATGTACCTATAAAAACATTCAAATCATCAAACTTCCCAGTGTGGTTTACACCTGAACTAAAAAATCTTATATTCAAGAAAAAGATTGCTCATAAGAAATATAAAGATAGAAACTCATTTGATTATTATCAAGAATTCTGTACACTTCGTGCACAATGTAAAACATTAAATGAACAATGCTACCTCAGTTATCTGAGTTATACAGAAAGGAATATTCAAAATGACTCTAACAGTTTTTGGAAGTATATGAATAATTTACGTAAATCTAGTTCTTACCCAAACACTATGCATCTCAATAATACTACTTGTACAAATGGCTCTGATATCATAAATCTTTTTGCTGAATATTTCTCAACTGTCTATTCTGATAAGGATAGTAATGTGCCTGCATTTCAAAACAAAAATCTAGTTGACATCAATACTCTCCATTTAAGCTTAATTGAGGTTTTTGAGGGTATTCAGAGTTTGAAGAATAGGTATTCCAGTGGCCCTGATGGTATCCCTCCAGTACTATTAAAAATATGTAATTGTACATTAGCTAATCCCATTCTATATTTATTTAACTTATCTCTGGATTCTTGTAATTTTCCAGATTTCTGGAAAAACAGTTTTGTCACCCCAATTTTTAAGTCAGGGGATCGTGAATCCATCAAAAATTACCGAGGTATTTGTATACAGTCTACTTTGCCAAAACTATTAGATAAACTCGTCACTGCCAAATTAACATGGTCCTGCAAGAATATTATAATACCTCAGCAACATGGTTTTTGTTCAGGAAGATCAACGGTAACCAACTTGCTGTCTTATCAGACATTTCTGTTACATGCCTTGGAGAGGGGTGAGCAAGTTGACGCAATTTACACAGACTTCTCCAAGGCATTTGATAGAGTGGACCACAAGATACTTTTAGAGAAACTTCACTCCCTTGGCTTTGCGGATAATATTGTGAAATGGCTGCGCAGCTTCCTCACTGGCCGCTCTCAAAGAGTTAAAATCAACAATTATATATCTAACGAAATTATGGTTACTTCGGGTGTCCCTCAGGGCTCTCACTGTGGACCTTTACTCTTCAATTTATTCATAAATGATATCTCTGATGTAATCAAAAGTGCAAACTTTTTATTATTTGCTGATGACTTGAAGTTGTTTCTCGTTGTTGATGATATCCTAGACAGTCAAACTCTTCAAAACGACCTTGATAACCTTCATTTATGGTGCGTTCAAAACAGTCTTGCTTTAAATACTGATAAATGTTTTACAATATCGTTCTCCCGCTCATTTAATGCTTCCTCATATAACTACAATATTAACAATACGATCCTTGAAAAAGTAACTGAAATTAAAGATCTTGGAATCATCTTTGATGAGCGTCTCACCTTCAAGAGTCAACTACTGAAAGTATCAGCATCTGCTAATAAAATGGTAGGTTTTCTAATGCGTAATACAAAACATTTTTCTTGTAACACAGTTAATACTTTATACTGCTCTCTTGTACGTTCCTTATTAGACTATGGTTGCATAATCTGGTCGCCACATTATAACTGTGATATCACACTAATTGAACAAGTCCAAATGAGATTTGCCAAGCACATTTCTTATAAAATGGGAACTTACAACAATTTCAATTATACAGATACTCTCAATGCCCTCAACTTAACCAACCTATCTATCAGACGCTTTCGGCTCGATAGTATCACCATGTTCAAGATTATCTCAGGTGTGATTGATTGTTGCGATCTTCTCAATATGATAAACTTCAATGTTCCATCATATTTCACTAGAAACACTGATCTTTTTACTATAAAAACTCATAGAACTAATTATGGGTTCTTCAGCCCATTATCACGTATTTTGCGTAATTTCAACATATTAAACATTGATCCATTTGTCCATTCCTTAACTGATTTTAAAAATAAAATTTGTATAGTTGATCCTGGCTCGATCCACAATTAATCTATACTTTAGTGTTAATTTCTAAGGGTTGGTTAATACAGGAATTTTGTTTTGTATCCTTCAAACCAAACCATATAGTTCAAATTTGAAATTTCAATCAATATCAATGCTATATTATTGTTCTTATGCCATCTTGTCAATCTGTAATAATTAACTATTGTAATGGTGAATCCGTTTATTAAATAAATAAATAAATAAATAAAAAATAAATAAAATGACTCACGTGTGTAGGAGTTGATTTTTCGCTGGAAAAATACCTTTTCCTCACTACCTTACTTAATCCTGTATGCTCTCGTCACTATTTCTGTGGTGTTAAGTATTATTGTTAGGTATTTTCCACGCATAAATCAGAAAGATGAGTCGTCTTAGGAAGGTGTCGTCTGAAGGAACCATTGAAAATATAAGAAAATCAATTCCGAAAACTACCAGTAAAACGAAATCATCAATAAAGGTAATCATTAATGTTGTTCATTTGAATATTTTCGTTGATTTATCTTGACAAAAAAACACTCGAACTTTTTTCAATTGGATAAATTTCCTCACTAGCTCAAAAATGTCCCATCAGTATTTTCTTTCGAAGAACTGACATTAGACAAAATTGCTCGACCTACAGTCTCGCAATTTTTTCATGTCAGTTTTTTTCGTAAAATTACTGATCGCCCAATGTTTTTCGTTAGCAAGAAAAATCTATCCGATCAAAAAACTCTTGTGTGTATACTGTTGAAAAAACTTTGCCAGCGACAAAACGGAACCTTAGTTTCGGAACCATGACAACCAGAATTGTGAACGAATATCTAACGGCGTTTATGTCAATATTTCCTAATCTTGCGCTGTGGAAATGACGCGATTTGAAGAGATTTGGTTCCGAAACGTCCAAAGATGAGTGAAAATTTGATATTTTTTCTATATACCATTATTCCTCTTCTCCAAACTTTTTTCAATACCAATTGTCACTGACAAGCTAGTGAATTTTTCTTTTAGGCTCTGATAGGAAAATTCTTTAAACACAGTGACATTTTGGGGCAAATCATCTGATTTGTCCTTACTCTACATGTATATTGAAATGATATTCATATTTTTATTTTATGGAAACGAGGAGAGAAAATCCCAAAAAATTTGGAATAATGAACATTGAATTGTCTTCCCGAAATACACTCAAGCATTTTTTTTGTCGAAATAAACTTGAAATTTATAATTTGAGTGTGGTTGCCTCAAGGAAATTCTCATTGAAATGTAAAGTTCACTTTGAATAAAAATGCTCTCGTGTAATTAATTATAAGTGAGAGAATTGAGGTGAAGAATGGATTGGTTTTCATTCTTTTCAGGAAGATCTAAATGTTTCAATTCAACGAGTTAAATAAATCAAATTAAAGTGGGAGACTCATGAAACCTTGTAAATTGTTTTCGAAATTGAAAAACCTTAATTGAGGTATTTTGAAAGATATCTAAATATTTCAGGTGGTATTCCGACGCCTAAGATACCTACTGTTCCAACCAAGATGGTAGCACCTCACACAATGACTACGCCGTCCGGCATAATACAGAGCAAACCGAAAACAAGTTCGTCTGCACCTAAACCAACTTCTTCTTCCGTCCTCAAGCAAAATTCGTCGGTTCCAACTAAATCGGTTATAACAGAATCTATGAAGAGCAAGCCGAAAAATCAACCCATCTTGAAGAATATTTCTGCTAGCGCATCAATTTTCAAAGTGAGTTGTTGACTTTTCGTGGAATTCATTTTGCTAACATTATAAATGATGAATGCTTACATGATACTTTTCGTAATCACATACTTTTATTTTGATTTAACGGTATTCAGATAGCAATGGAAAAGTTAATGTTAACAGCCCCGTCCGTTAAGATTGGTTAACGGCCGGTCCGGCAACCATTTACTGTTCCATAACAACACGTTGTTCGGATTTTTCTGTAGAACTACAAGGTATGTGGTTTGTTCTTTCCTCGGAATAAAAATGTAGTCTTCCAGCGAGATCACGAAAAGTCTGGAACGACACACGATTGTTACGCAAATAACGGCCTTGTAACGTTGATAACTATAAACATCTACTAGGCCTCATCAATTCACCGATTTTGCATCTCCTTTCAAGATAATCCGTCACACTTACCTGCTCACAGGTCATTCTGATTTTATATGTTCGATGCTTGACGTTGCTGAATCTTCTTGATCCGGCTCGAAGGACCAATATGGTCAATGCTTGAGTGACTGCTGCTTTCCTTTTAAAATTTTTCATTATAATCATTTGAGCCGTTACTCTTAACAACATGTCGCCATGTTAGAACTTCTTTCATTAAACATTCATGGTGATGCAACTACTTAAACTAGATAACGTATTGAAGTATAAACCATATAGAGTTTTTCACGTATTTCAAATGTCTGAATGAATCGATTTTTGTTAGGGGCCAGCTGTGATCAAAACCAGTTCTGCAGATGAAAAAACCGCCAAAGATCTGATGAAGGACAGGCCAAATATATCCATAACTCCGGTCTCTGGTGGTTTACCCCCACCACCTAGTATTTCACCTAGCTTCATGAGACCACCGGTTACTACGAGTCCGTCTGGTAAGGAATTTTATAATGTGATAGTTATTTTTGTATCTAGTGCGCGAAATGCTACTTAGGACAATTTTTTTAACTCGGCTCCGCCTCGTTAAAAAATCAGTTCTAGATCACGATTTGCAAATAAAACTTTTTCTAACGTCTAAAATGAGTAATGCTGAGTATTAATATAGAAAATAATTACTGTTGAACATTTAGAAATCTTGGTTTTCTGTTTCGGGCCAAGAGCTATTTCACTTCCATTCAGCTGCTTATGATCTATAAGGCACAGATCCGACCTGTCCTGGAATGCTGTTCCCATATTTGGAGTGCAGCACCCAAACATACCCTGAAACTGTTGGATTCTGCCCAAAAAAGGGCAATTCGTCTCGTGGGTGATGCCTCGCTCACAAACTCACTCACTTCTCTGGAACACCGTAGAAAAGTTGTCGATCTGGCTCTATTTAATAGATATTTTCATGGACGATGCTCTTCTGGGATATTGCTCCTCCCTTAGCAGTCCCCGCGAGATTATGCCGTCGAGTTGAGGCTTTGCACCCCTTCGTGGTCTCTTTGGAGACCTGCAGAACATCTCTTTCCAAAGATTCGTTTATCCAACGAACAGCGAGGCTCTGGAACACATTGCCAAGGGAGGTGTTCCTCGAGGCCTATAACCTCCAGAAATTTCTCTGAACATTACAGGATATCCCTTTTCGTGGGAATCAGAAGAAAAGTGATTACTATTGGTTCAACAGTTGATAACTCCCCAATATTTTTTTCCAATCAATGACTTCGAAAAAGAAGGAAGTAAAAAGATGTGGAGTACAGGATTCTATCCCCGGACCATTGACATATTAAGCAGCTACAGCTACGCTACCTACTGACTATTGTGTATCTTGCGAATTTGTGTACAAAACATCTTTTTTTGGTACAACAATCATGTCTGTCAACATTTTTTTTTCCAAGCGGCATAGAAAGTGGCTTTTCTCTGACACTTAACAGGCAGGAAATGTGTACTTTCTCTGCCTAGACAGGAAATGGCTGAATTCCTAGCCTCGCTACGCTCGGCTATGAACTATCAGTCGCGACAGTCAATCTGCTACTTTGCTGCTTAATAAAACGAATAACTATTTTACCGCCGTAAGATTTTTTTCAAACAAAAAGTATCCTTTGACGTCTCTAATACATGTAAGAATATACAGTATGATGCAAATGTATGGAATAAATTCATTATTTCAGAAATGGGCGACATTTGAAATAATTCCAAAAACACGTGAGTTTTAATTTCTGAAGCCTTATCTCATGATATTCATATGAGAGATGTTATGTCACCGGTGTTGGAGTAAAGACGTAATGGACGATTTTTTCAAATACAAATAGGGGTCATGTGACACCTTGATTGAAAGGTCTACCGATCGTCTATTCAACAGTCAAAATGTTGCATAAGAAGATTGAAATTAAAATGGATTATCATGTGATTAATTGAATCTTGCAGAGGTCTGCTCCTGAGAATTGAACATCGAAGGGTCGTCTAGTTAAAAAAATACGTCGAAGAAAAAGTTCTAAACTATAGTTTTTGGTTTTTTTTTCGAAAGTCGTCTTGTTTTGGAATGAATTTATTCCATACATTTGCATCATACTGTATATTCAAAGTTTCATGATAATCAGTTGAGTAGTTTTGCCGTGAAAGCCTGACAAACAAACTTAGATTTTTATTTATAATATCAATAGGGATTACAAGTTGTACATATAGTTATTTTTTGTAATTCAGAAATGATCTAACAATTATTTTCTGTTTGTCTTTTTTTGATTTTTGCCGTGTAAATCAACATGCCGTGTTATGATCATTTTCATGTCACAGTCTGGAAAAACAGTTTTTTGCAAATACAACACCATTCTTACTAAATATTATTTTCTATGTTGGGATAACTTGTAAATCAAAGTAATCACCGGATTGATTAACAAAAACACACAGGTGGAAAAACTCTGCAAGAAAAACTGGCCGACAAGAAGAAAGAACAGCTGAACAAACTGAAAGCCGCCAGCATGGAGTCTGAGAAACGGTCGGCGACCGAGAACGCCATGAAAAACCTCAACATCCCCCCCTCGCTGGGACTGACCGCCGCCTCCCCTGCTGTCGCCGCCCCCAAACACAACAAACTGCCCGCCGATCTGACTTTGCCGCCCAGCATTTCCGTGTCGAAATCCAACGTGCCGTTGCCCGCTCCGAGGTTCTCCCCGGAATCGGGCGTTTCCATCAGTCAGGTGAGTGCATATACATATAGTAGGGGAACCGGTTGCAAATTTCGACCGTCATCTGATAACGAAATTATTTACCGGGTGTTTCTCGAAAGTGACTCACCCCTATAACTTTTTTGTTTCCACAGATGAACAAATGAAATTCGGTGTGTGAGTATAATAAATAAATGTGCATTATTTGACGTATTCAATTTAAATGTTCAATCTAGAGTGCCATGAATGAGTTTGTTGTGTTGCGGGTTGGATAGGGTGAGCTGAATGATACTCAGGGTCCTGTTAGCTGGTTTTATTCACTATAGAGCAGTTGATGTTGATGGCGATGAATACAGATTGTGTACAGATGTTGAAAATTATAGATGTTAAGTGTTACAAGTCTCGTGGCAAAATCCCTGCATTTTGCTGGCTTTCTTAGTTTTATACGCGGCGCTTCCTCACAGAAACAACGCTCTCATGACATCAATTCTGACCAATGGAGATAAAGAATACAATTTTACTAATCAATAAATTCACCTGACAATACGGTGTGTTGATCAGCAATATCGATATCGTTTAATAGGCAATTTCACTATGACTGAAAATAGCCCTTTTAATATGGCGAACGGTCTCATACATGACTCACTAAATCAAATAGCACTTCCTCTCATCTATTGATTCCTTTACAACCGTTTAATTAATACTTCAAAAGTGCTACAAATCGAGAGAGTTCCAAACGACCATTTTTCGCGGTGTGACGTCACTTGTATTTTCTTGAGGCTCCCTCTGACGACCCAAAGAGGATGCGTTGCACAAAACCACAGACACAGAACTCGAGCACAGAGTGGTTGGGTGATCTGTGACTTGAGAGAAAAATGGCTACAAAACAAACTATAGAAGAAGAAAAAGATTAACCTCGAAATCTAGTTCATAGTTCATTATTTCATTTCATTTTCAGTGATCTATCAGTGTTATATTAGTGATATTCTTTCAATCTGAATTAACTGAAATATTTCACTTGAACTGAACTGAATCAGTTTATATGCGTTCTTTCAAATGACGTTCATTACATGTCAACTGATTCAGTTCAGTTCAAGTGAAATATTTCAGTTAATTCAGATTGAAAGAATAGTTTTTATTGAGTGACACATACAATGACAAATGGTGACAAGACCAAGTGACAAGACGAATTACCCAGTGTATGACGCGGTGTGACTCGCCTTGTATTCGTCCAATGAAATGCCATCAATATTTCGCGTGCATTCGGTATGTGTGTTTTAAATGGTGAAAAAAAAATCAGAAAATCATGGTGAAATTCCCTATTGGTACAGAGAATTCAGCAGAAATGTAATGTTATACCTAACAATATATGACATCATGTTATCTTTCGTAACAAGTGTATTTGATAAATATTAATGAAGTTTCTTAAATAAGCAACTGGGAGAATTATAGAATATAATATTTGAATACATATTCATGCTAACCTCGTAGAGGGTGTGAAGTGTAATTTCACAACAAGTTAAACAGTTGATTTTGAATCAAGTTGCCAAGGAAAAGTAGTTTCGATTTGTTTCACAGGTTGATTCAGAATTTACAATATCGTAATCATGATGTTTACTCAATTTTTCCAAATAGAACAGGGGTGAGTCATTACCATATCTGAGAGGGGTATTTTGTTACGAACACGTTGATACCACATAATCGATATTTTGAATCAATATCTTGGGTCATAATCACTCTAGATTGAAAATTTAAAAATGAACATTTCAAAATGATTAATGTCAAAAGGTGGCAAATGAGGAGACATTGTACTCACAATGTTATTCTCTATCGAGATAAGTAAAAATATACCGGGTGTTCCATTTGGAATGGGAAAATAATGGTCATTTCTGGCCAAACCGGAAGTGACAGCAAACAATTTATGAACTATACTTACACACCGAATTTCATTTGTTTAGCTGTGGAAACAAAATAGTTATAGGGGTGAGCCACTTTTGAGAAACACCCGGTATGTCCCAAGGGCATGTAAATGAACTACGCAACACTAATTTCGCCGTACCCCAAAATTTTGACTCTATTGAAATATGAATAACTTTTTTCTGCTTTGAACGATTTGAATTCGGATCACACTGTTCGCTAGCCCAGTCCTTTATCTATAATCTCGTGATTCTTTAAAACATAAGGTTCGTCACATGAAATCGCTACAGGGTGTTACCTGAAACTGGGCAAAATTTCGGAAATTTCGAAAGTTTCCCAAATGGAGAAAATCGTTATTTTTTTTTCAACTTTGGCAGTAGAGGCATGTGAATGATCTCATTATCTTGGGACAATTCTCGAAATGTTTCCTCATCTCTTTTATTTACAGAGTGATCTCAAAAAATTAACTTTTTGGTTTTGCAGTCATAACTTTTTTCCGAGTCAACCGATTTTTAAAATCTAAGGCTCATTTTGAGACTCAAACTTCAGATGAAGAGATATGAAGATCAGAATTGACTTGAGATGAACATTATACAGTGTGCCCGACTTCTTATGGAAGCACCCATGTATCTTTCGTGATTGTTGAGCAATGATTCTGAAATTTGCGAGAGCGGTGAGATATACTGAAAATACACACTATGACCAAGTGGAGTCGTCACCAGTGATATACACTGCTCGCCAACAGCCATGGAACCACCCACAAAAATTATATAAGGAGGCAAGATAGGTTGTTAATCACTTCGGATTCAAAATTTAATTTCTATTTGGGGGAGTACAAATATTTCACGTCTGAAACCACTAATGAAATTACAAAACAAATCAATTAAGTGCATTTTTCATCTACATTTTCTAGAACCAACGATATATTTTATTCAAACCAAGACATTTTCTGAACCTGATTTCGTTATATAAACTTAAAATATGTTGCTTTATTCATTTTTCCAGGAATAAGTTGAAAATATCAAATTTAGCTTTCAATGAAGTCAATACAGTCCATAATTATGGAACTAGACAATTGAATTACTTGATAGCAAATACATTCAAGTCAAACATTGGCAAACAATCTGTTTTTCACAATGGAATAATTTTATACAATTCATTACCGAATGAGTTGAAAAATATACATGATGCAAGAAGGTTTAAAATCAATCAAAAATACTTGCTCAGGACAATTTGAAAGAAAAATATGTGGCATGATTTGATTACTTAGGAATGAAATATAACTTTAATCTTATAAGACACAATATTAATTCGTTTCCACTGAGTGGAATTCATTATAGTTAACCCTTTATTATTATTTTGTTTATATGTATTTATGTATCCCTATCATAAACAGAAATGTTTCTTGGGGTAATAAAGACAATCAATCAATCAAAAAAAAAATCAGGACGTCCATTTCGCTTCCTCCTGCAAATTTTAGATCCTACCTCAATAATTACGTGAGATACGGAGGTGCTTCCATGAGAAGTGAGACAAAATTCGATTTTTCTGAACTGAAAATTTTCCAGAAAAAATATGAATAGTCAGTGAATTGGACGTCCTGATTTCGAATCCGAAGTGATTTTCAACCTATCTTGGCTCCTAATAACATTTTCCGGAAATTTGGGTAGTTCCATGGCTGTTGGCGAGCAGTGTTTATCACTGGAGATGACTCCACTTAGTCATAGTGTTTATTTTCAGTAAATCTCCCGCTCCTGTAAGTTTCAGAATCCTCATTCAACAATTACCAAACATACAGGGCTGCTTGCCTTAGAAGTGAGACACACTGTATAATGTTCATCTTGAGTCAATTCTGATCTCCCTATCTCTTCACCTGAAGTGTCCGCTTGAAAATGAGATTTTGAAAATGGGTTGACAAGAAAAAAAAGTTATGACTGCAAAACCAGAAAGTTAATTTTTTGAGATCACTCTGTAAATAAAAGAGAAAAGAAGACAATTTGAAAAATGGTCCTAGGTAATGAGATTATCTTCATGCCTCTGCTGTCGAAGTTGAAAAAAATGTTTTTGTTTATTTGTCAGAAAACCTAGAAATACAAGATTTCATGTTCATGCTGTTAAAACTAACAAAGTTATTGTGAAATTTTGAAATAAAAAGAACACCCTGTAACTCCTAAATCAGCAACATTCTCATCAGGCATATTGGGCTAAATCTCATTATTTTTGTATTTACTGTCTGTAGTTCAGAGATTTACCATTCTTAATGAATCACCCTGTATATTTAGTAGGAAAAACCAAAGAAAAATCCAAAAGCTTGTCAGTGACCCTTTGTTTGGAAAAAAGGATTAAGAGAAGAAATATAGATTTATTGAAAAAATATCGAATTTTTACTTATCTTTGGACGTTTCGGGAACGAATCTGCTCCCGTTCTCTCATAAAAATGCAAAATATTTTTCTTCGAAAATTCTGTTCTAGTTTGACACTTCTCAGTGAGTTACAGGATGTTTTCATTAATTGATCTTGTATCTACCATTTTCATGTTCAGTTTTCAGTAGTGAATACCATGTTCTATCTATATCAAGTTAACAGAAAGCAATGCTATTGTCTCCGTTCAGAAGAATGCAAGCGGATTCCTTAAGTTTCCTCTTTTGGTTTTTATCTTCCTTTCCTATAATTTTAATATTATTCCACTCTGCGATATGTTGTCCAATTTCAGTAAGGATATGTTCAGGTAGTTAGAGAGAGGTCTCTTCACAGACAGTATTTAACAATTAACTCACTTTAGTTACACAAAATAATAAAAGATAAGTTGATGATAGCTCAATTTCTCAGTTTTTCACAAATTTATCTCGGAACAATTTTGAATTTTTCCCTAAAGCTACAGGAAAAGAATATTGAGCCATGACTCACACTTTGAGCCATGCCTTACACACTGATAATGTTAGGATAGTATTGTTTTCACGACAATGGGAGGTGTTTCAGGTACAAAAAATGCACATAGCTGACTATACAGAGCGGACGACAAATGTAGAAAATATCATTCAAAAAATAATGTTTACCATTCATAATGGCACAATATCTTGCTTGTGGCTTGTGCTTACTATGGAAATATCTCGTAT